CACATATTGGCGTCGTCCCTGGTGATGCCGAGCTTTCTGATGAGCGCCTCTCGCACTTGAGGCTCAGCGGTCCGACGGGCGCGCTGGGTGACATTGCCGAGGAACCCGATGAGATCGCCCACGTCGGACAGGCACATTCTCATCTGCATGATTTCCGCCTGGCAAGACATCGCCAAACTCTCCATGTTCGCAACCGTAGCGGTGTTCTTTACCCGCTTGTCCATATGTATTACAGGACAGTTTGTGCCCGCGCGGTTTCGGATCGGGATATGTTGTGAGTTTGTATGTTGTTCCGTCCCCCCCCTGCACAGGAGGAACGACGTGCCCGCAGTGAGCAATGTTGTCAGCTTCGCCCCCAAACGAGTCTCATCCTAGAAAAAAGCTGTTCTCGCGAATTCGGAAAAAAAGGCGGTCGTCGCTAATTGATTGTCGATCTGCGTTCCTAGTTTTGAGCAGATTCGACCCTCGAGGGGGCGCGACGGGGCGCTGCGCTCTGGACGCGCCGCCGGCCGCGCCAAGCCAGGAGGCTGCGGCGGGGGGCGCCCATGCAAACGGGCCGGCTGCTAGCCCGGCTCCTGCTGGGTCGCCGGAGCCGCCGCGGAAGACGCGCCGGCGGCAGGCGTTGCCCCTGTCATCGCCCTCCAGGACCTTGCGGCCGCCTGCTGGTCAGGCCTCGACGCTTGCGACCTCCTGGGGGATTTCGCGCTGGACTGCGCTGCGGTGCTGGTCGTTCCTGGGCGAGCCCGGGCAGCGGCCGTGCAAACCACCGAGGAGCTGTGCAACTTGGTCTTGTGGGCTCTGGCTGGGAGCGTGGAGGCGGAGCGGGCCATGGAGCTCCTATGTTGCTGCGGGAACGCCTGCTTTTTCGCGGCCTCCCCCCTCCGGCTCGGGGCAAACGGTCGGCAGCGCCGCGCGAGACCTTGGACCGCGCGCAACTTGTGTGCGAACGTTGCTCGACGCTGCTCCATGGCGTGTGGGGGAAGCTCTTGACGACGGCGAAAAACGCGGCCCGAGGCCTGGCCGAAGCGCGCCGCAGGCCTGGGGGACCGCCCGGGACGAGCGGCCCCTCGCAGACGAGGTCCTGCGGAAAGCTGCGAACGAGGAGTGCCCCCGAACCGCCGCCCTGTTCACCAACCGGCCCATGACTAGGTTTGCTTTGGTCGTTTTTATCGTTCGCTTACCATACGTGTATTCTACGACAGGGACGTTATAACTTCATGTTATAAAAACCACGTGGCGCCGCCCATGAAGTGGTGCCGCTGGCTCTGGAAGCCGCCGGCCGCCACGTCCAGGCGGCCCTGCTTGCGCAGCGACTGCTGGAGCCGGCGGACGAAGGCGCGGCTCGGGCAGCTGGCGGCGCCCTGCGGGGTCGGAAGCTGAGCGTGGCCCCCCACCGGGCCACAGCGTGGCAGGTCCGCCCCTCCCTTGGGGCGGACGGCGCCGGACGGGCGGCGGAGCCGCTCATCACAATGCCTATTCACCGAACCCATCGTTTCACGTTCACTGGCCCGCCCGCCACCCTGTGGCAGATGAGCGGACCAAACAGTCGACGTCCCAGCGTCTCCGTCGCCGCGGCCCTCGTTCTGTTCATAGTTTACATTTTTGGCGACACGCAGGGCTATGTTCTTTTTGGTCGCCGAGGCGGCGTAATTGCCGCGTTGCTGGGCGGTCTTCTTCACGCACATCGTCGCCGCGGTGCTCATCGTGAAGTTTCCGGGTGGGCGGGCGCTCGGGCGTTCGATAAACCGCCTTGGGAATCACTGAAGGGGAAGGAGCAGGAGGAGGAGAGGAGGATAATGAGGAGAAGGAGGAGTCGGAAGAGGAGGAGGCGGAGGAAAAGCAGGAGCAGGAAAAGGAGTCAGAGGGGGACCGACATTGGTGACATCGCGACTTCACGGATCTCGCCCGAGGAGGGGGGGCTGGTCAGGGAGGTTGGTGTACAAGGGGCGCGTCCCCCAGTTTTCCAGGAGTGTTCGATGTGTCGGACGGAGGGCCTGGTTCCAACGTGTCGTGTTTTTTGTTGTTGTTGTTTTTTTGTCCGTGGCGTGCGTCCATTGAACGCGCTCTCGAACAGCATTGGCTCAAATATGCTGGGTGTCATGTTTTTTGCCGTGGCGTGCGTCCACTAAACGCGCTCTCGAACAGCATGGTCTCAAATATGCTGGGTGTCGGGATGCAGCCGCCCGGGGATTCCCATGTTGTTGTTGTCTTGGAGCGTTCGGGAGCGCCCACAACACGAGGATCCCGGCCCCCTAATCAACACGCAAATATAGCTCCCAATCCAAAAAACTTGTGGGGACTCGAGGACACCTCACTGAGTGCAATCATCATTCCGCACAGCTGAGCACATGCTTTTAGTTCCTTTTTTTCCTCAGGCTGGTCGCACGACTCGGTGGTTTCATCCTTCATCATGTGTCTCCGTAGAACAGAACAGCGCGTGAAGTATTTGGATTCGTGGTATTAGTTCGCAGCGAGTAGAGAAGTCTGCAATAACGTTGTTTGGGTATAACATCATATCAGAGTTCGTGCGTGTTGCTCCTTTTCGGGAGTGTTGCTCTGCGAGCTCGTGCTTGGAGTCGGCGCTGGCTTCTGGTTGTGCTGTGTGCGATCCAGCGTGTCCTGCATCATGCTGCCGTCGGTAGCGCCTCGTGCCGTCCCGGATGTCCCCCGGCGTCCCCCTCGCAGACTCTGAACTGGGGTTCAGAACTGGGCGGCCAGAACCAGAACTGTTGTTGATGTTGTTGATGTTGTTGTTGTTGTTGTTGTTGTTGGTGTTGTTGTTGTTGTTGTTGTTGTTGTTGAACCGGGCGGCCAGGGCGTCCGGCAGGGCCGGGCTCGCGCGCGGCGAGCGCGCGAGGCACCTCGTGCACGACAAGCAGTGCCCGGTCTGCAAGACCCCCATAGACATCATGGACGCGCCCTGCCGGGGCGGGCGGCGCTGCGGCGTCGGAGGCCAGGGCAGATAGTCGGGGGCGGACAAGAGGGGGGTGATGACTAGGGGGGAGGGGGGGATATCATGGCGCGGGCCATGATATCTCCGCAGATTTCATGGCGCCTCTTCTTATTTCATTACGTCCCAGGCCCCCCCGCTGGGCCGCGCACATGCCGCCTGTCATGATTTGCACCCCCCCCTCTTGGACACCCCCCTCTTGGCCGCTCCCGATATAGGCCTCCCAAGTGGGGTCCGAGAAGATGGGGACGGAGGATCGCGCTGCCTCGCCGATGCGGCTCGATGAAGAGCCGGATGTTCTCCACGCCGACGGCGCCGATGCATCGCCGACATCGCCGATGCATCGCATGTGCATCGGCAGTGTATTGCCGATGTATCGACGATGCGGTGATATCTTCCGACCCGATCTACTCAGACCCCACTTGGGAGGCCTGGAAGGGCGCCAGTCGGATGTCTGCTGCTGACCATGCCAGGGGTCCTCGTCCCTGTCGGGAGCGTGGGCCGCCACGGGATCGCAGTCCTGGGTCGTGCACCCGACGTGAAGAGCAGGCCGACGACGACGACGGCGGCGACGACGACGACGATGACGATGACGACGAAGAGGCGACGACAGGAACGACGACGGCGACGGCGACGACGGGCGATGGACGACGGATGACGGACGCCAGACGACGGACGACGACGGCGAAGACGGCGACGACGGCGACGACGGCGGCGGCCCGCCTCCGCCCCCCCCCTCCTCCCCCTCCCCCTCCTCCTCCTCCTCCTCCTCCTCCTCCTCCTCCTCCTCTTCCTCCTCCTCCTCCTCCTCCTCCTCCTCCTCCTCTCTCCTCCTCCTCCTGTTCCTCCTGTTCCTCCTCCTACTCCTCCTCTTCCTCCTCCTCCCCCTCCTCTTCCTGCTCCTGCTCCTCCTCCTCCTCCTCCTTCTCCTCCGCCCCCCCCCGCGCCGCGCCGCGAGGACAGGATCGACGGCTCGTCCTCGAACAGGCCGGGCGAGCCCAAGGTCCTGTCGGAGGCCTCGGGGGCGCGCACGAGGGAGGCGGGGGGTCCGCGGATTCGTTTGATCTGATTTTTGTTTCAATTCAACATCGTAGGGGGGGTTAGGAATAGGGGGGACGCGCGCCTCGAAGCCTGATCGCCCATGCATCGCCGATGGGGGCCCGATAGCCCCAACCCGGAAGGTGCGGATCCACTGTCGGGGGGGCCTGCCTCCGAGCTGTCGGCGACGTGTGGCGCCGTCGCCAGGGTCGCTGCAGCTTGCCCCTCTTGGAGTTGGCCTTCGGGAGGGGTCCCTCGCCGCCACGGCTGGAGGCAGCTTGGGCAGGTGGAGCGTCTGGACCACGGGGGGGCCCGAAGGGGCCCGGGGACCGACCAGGAGTCGGCGGCCAGCCGGGGGGGGGGGGGAGCGAGAGGGACTGCGCCGTGCACGCTCGCGCACGCCGAGGGCACCAGGAAGTGCCTTCGGGACGCCGCACGGGCCCGACAAAGGTATCGATTCTTGCGTGCCCAAGCGTTTTCGTTTGCGGAGGCTGGGCTGCCTGGCGCGAACGGCCGAACGACCCCTGCAGCGGGACACTCTGGACGCGCGGTTGGCCGGCACAAAAATCCTCGAAGTAATGCTGGCGGGCCGTCTCTCAGAGGATCGCAAACACGGATCAAAGTGGCGTGGATCAGCGACGGGCCCCGTTTCCATGGGAAATCGTGGATTTCCGCCGCCGGACGAGGCGGCGCCGGCCGCATTTTTGGGGAGGGCACCTCCCCCGATCCGGAGGGTTCCAAAGGGCGTTTTCGGGGAGGGGGTTTTCCAGGAGGGGTCCCCCAGGGGCTTCGCACCCCCTGTTTTCACCGGGGCTCCGAGGCCCCTGGGGGGCTCTCTGGAAAACCCCCTCCCCCCAAACCCCCTTCGGAACCCTCCGGCCGATCCATGTTTGCGCGCCCCCGATGTCCAGAAGGCCCGGAAGCCCCCCGGCCTTCCGAGAAGTTGTCTCCGCCGTCCCGCAAGCACAGGACGCTCCTCGGAAGGCGCGAGGACTTCCCAGAGGCCCCCCCGCCTCCCGAGGAGGCCTTCTCCTGCTCACTTCCCCCCCTCGCTCGCCGCCGAATGAGGGGCCCTCTCGGTTCGGCACGAACGAAATGGGCACGGAAAGAATGGGTACGATGCCCAACAGCAGTTCCTGTTCCTTTTGAGCAGGACTCGCTGTCCGCGCCGCCGCGGCCTGCGCCCATTTGAGACAGGAGGCCGCCCGCCCAGCAGCGGCCGCTGCCTTGTTTGAGACAGCGCTTCTTGTTGGGCACTGTGCCCGGCTAGCGCCCGCCGCCCGTGAGGGTGTGCAGTTGAAGCTGCGTCTCTCTCTCTCTCTCTCTCTGTCTCTCTCTCTCCCTGCTTTGCTCGCGCTCGTGGCACCCACGACGGAAGCAGAGCGCTGGCCCCCTGGCGACGACGGGCGTTACCAAGCGGGGGAGGGGAGGGGACAAAGCACGCACAGACACAATTCATCGTCGACCCCCAAGAAACTATGGTAAAATAGGGGAAGTGGGCGGGAAGACAAAAGCCCAGAAAACATGAGAAAATGTGGGACATCATTCTATTTGTGTGTATTCATTTGCGTGCCCTTGTGCCCCTTAGACCAAGCGGGGGAGGGGAGGGGAAGGGGAGGGGGGGACACCGCGCCACGGTGCGCGCCGGCGCCGCCCGAGAACGCCTTATAGGGCTGGCGCCTGCCCAGACGGTTGCCGACGCGAGTCGTGCGTCGTTGCTGGCACCCGGGGGGGGGGAGGAGGAGGGGCGGGCCCTGCCATTGCAGACATTGTTGTGCGTCTGGGGGCAAAACACACACACACACACACAAAAAAAACACACACACACATGTGTTTTTGTGTGTTTCCCCCACATGTGTGTGTGTTTTTTCCCTCGTGTGTGTGTGTGTGTGCGTTTTTTCCCCCACGGGGTCTTGCGTCGGTGATTAGCAGACAGTGCTGCTGCTCTTGGCTGCAGTGGAGGCTGACGTTCGGACGCAGAGGATCTCGGTCGCAGGCGAAGCTGATGTTCGGATGAAGAGGGCGGGCCGATGCCGTGCGTATCTCGGCGGCGCGCAGAGGGGGGTAGGGGGGAGGGGGGAAGACTTCTTAGAAGCACCCCTGCTTCTTAGAAGGCGCGGGCCTTGTCTACAAATGTAAGGCCGGCGCCTTCTAAGAAGCAGCCTCCTTCTAAGAAGCCTTCCTCCCTCCCCCTACCCCCCTCTGCGCGCCGCCAAGTATCGGTGCCGACGGCGACGGGCAACTCAATGGTAACTTTGCCGGTATGCGTCCAGTTCAGGGTGAGTGGGGAGTCCCCCAGGATAGCAAGCGCAGCAATCTCTGCTCTCTCTTCTCTGGAGGGAGAGGATGGAGTGGCGAGCTAGGCGCTCTCATGCCATATCTGACATCCCACCCATCTCACCCATCCCTTCTCGTTGCGCCGACTCTTCTATATGCGCCGACGGGCCAGAATGTCCCCATCGTGCTATGCGCGATCAGACAGGAAAGCTTGGAGCTGTACATATTCTGGAGGAGTAGGAGGTGGTGGCGGATGAACCGGTGGATGAGCAGGATTGCGAGCAGCAGGAAAAGGAGGAGGCGGATCAGGAGGACGGAGAAAATTTAACCTCAGACTAGCTCATGCGATCTCTCGTCAGCCTTGGCATTGCAACAAAAATGGCACACAGGAAAGCTTGGATCCGAAGGGGCGAAACCTTTAGGACGCCAGGTTTCAAGTCCAGGGAGGGCCCCCCCCCCAGCCACCGCTGCCGAAAAACACCTCCGAAGAGGCGCCTTCCCAGCGAGGCCGAAGGAGGAGTCACCCAGGCGCCTCTCCTGACGCACTGCCCCGTGCGGGGGCAATCCCCTCCTGAGAGGCATTTGGCCCCGAGGGGGGCCCCCTTGGGGGCCGAAAACACGGTCTAGCGCTACTGGAACCCTTACCGCGCCCGCTGGGAGCCGTTCGAGGAAGCTCGATCGTGGGGGTCGAACTCGGACGAGCGAGAGGGGGTCTCTGCGGCGGCAATCGGCCAGAAGCCTGCAACTCCTGACATCTATTGCTTCCAGACCAAGCAGAACGTTTCTTTTTCGCAGGCACCTGGCGGCAGGGTTGCACTCACTCCGGCGCTCACCGATCCGTTCCCTGCCGCCGCGCCCACTGCCACTGCTCTCAACTCCACGCGGGTCTGCCCAGGACCGCAGTATCGTTCCACTACATATCGTTGATCATTACCAGCCTGGAACATATCCCTATCCCTATGCTGGGCATCTCCTCATCACGATGCCAATCTTAGGGATTCCCTTTTTTTTTGAGGGCGGATCCCTAAGATTGTCATCGCCTTTTGACGTGTCAATCTTAGGGATAGGGATACGTTCGAGGCTGGTAACACTACATCTCGTTGATCAGGCGGCTGTGCTCCCGGAAGAGCGGTCCGGGGGGGGCTGCACCGCCCCCCTGAGCTTCGTCCCCTGCCGACCATCGCTCCGCTCAACGGGGGCGAGAGCTTCGGCCCAGGCACGCGGACCAGCGCGGCCGCGCAGCAGCTCCTGCCCTTGCCCGTGCTCGTCGTTTCCCCGTCCTTCTGCGGGCTGTCCGTGTTCACCTTCCAGCGGAAGTAAGGGGACAAGGGCCGTGATCTCCTGCGGGCTGCGTTTCATCGCTTTCGTCGTTCCACAGCTCGGAGAAGCCCTTGGGCAGCGGCTCGTTGCTCAGGTTGCCCGTCGTCGCCCACCACTTCACCGAGGCCACGGAGACCTGAACATGTGGTGGGCCCTTGCTCTCGTAGTCAACCTCTTCGCCGGTCTTTACCTGCTCGCGCATCTTACTCGATGCTGCGACCTGCACCTGTGAGAGACCTCCCTCCTGCAGCTCGAACGTCTTTTTTACGATGGCGGCCAGGTCCTGCCGAGGAGCGCGGCGAAAGCGAGCCATGCGCCCCGCCGGCGCAGCCTTGCCACCTTCAGAGATGGGCCTGAGGTCCACCACCACCAGAAGCAGGAGGGGGGGAAGGAGGTGGAGGATGCGGAGGAGGAGGTGGAGGAAGAAGAGGGGGCGGAGGACCCCCGCCCCCATTCCACTTCTTCTGGTGGTGGTGGTGGTGGTGGAGAACAGGCCCGTCATTCATTCCTCGCTCGCACGCCGGACGTGTGCGTTTTTCCTTCGGCGAGGGCCATCGAGGAGCATCCTTGATCTCTTGGCGAAACAACCACGCACGAAACCGAAAAAAACACAGGGAATGGACGTCCGAGCGATGGCGAGAGGTCGGCAGCATGTGCCCGGCGAGCGAGCTGTGCGCAGCGCCCTTAGCGCGCGACCGCCGCTCCTCGAGCGAGGTGCGGCCGGAGCCGGGGCGAGGGCGGCAAGTCGCCCCGCTCGCGCGGGGCCCAGACACTGGCGAGCGGAAGTGGCGGCGCGCCGAGGGGGGTCACGTGGGAAAAAGCATACAAAAGCACACTGTGGGACAACAGAAACACACACTGTGGGGAAAAAACACTGTGGGGAAAAAAAACACACACACACAACACACACACACACACACACACTGTGTGTGTGTTTTTGTGTGTGTCGATTTCCCCTGGAAAACCTCAAAACTACTCAAAACATAGTCCCCAGACTATTTTCGGAGTATTTTTGGCTTATGTTCCTGGGGGTATCTTCTATTCTTCGTCGAAGATCCCCCTGTAGGGGGACAGGCCCGACTGAACCCTCCCCCCCCCCCTGCGCGCCGCCGGTGGAGCCTGTGCGCCGCTGCCAGGGCGGGAACGCCGCTCTCGGGGCGCATCCGCGAGGCGCTGTGGGGCGAGAGCGCCGTCTCTCCGCGCGCGCGCGTCGACGAGGTGGCCCCGGGAGCCGCGTGCGCCGGACGAAAGGGGGGGGATTGGGAAAGGGGGGGGTCACGGAATCTGCTGCGTGCAGCTGGTTTCGGCCTCGGTCGACGATCGGGCGTCGACGATCGGGGGTGGACAGAAGCCCCGACAGTGACACGTCGATGAGTGAAGTGTCCGTTGTCGGCTCTCGAGATGGCGCCGTGGCCGTCATCTTCCAGGCCTGCGCCCGCCAGGTTTGGGCCTCGGGTCGTTCTCGCGAAGCCGCGTTTTGCCAGAGGGGGGCCTGCCCATCCCCGAGGCGAGGTGGCCCGGGAGCCGCGTGCGCCGCCCCCCGCGGGAGCTCCGCGGCGCCCTCTCGCGCGGGAGCAGCGCGCCCCGCCCCCCGGTCCTGCCGCGCACGATGTTGCGACGGGGGCGGCGTCGCGCCCAGACCGGCAGGAGCAGCGCAGAGACTCTCCGCGGTGTCTCCGGCTTCGGCCGGCTGTCGGTGGGCTTGGCGGCAGAGGTCGGGGGCGGCAAACAGGGGGGTGATGACTGGGGGGGGGGGATATCATGGCTGGGGCCAGGATGTCTCCCCAGATTTCATGGCGCCTCTTCTTATTTCATTCCGTCCCTGGACTCCCCGCTGGGCCGCGCACATGTCGCCGGCCATGATTTGCACCCCCCCCTCTTGGACACCCCCCTCTTGGCCGCTCCCGAGGTGGGCTTGGTGGCAGAGTTGATTAGGAGTCGAGTCATCAGGAGTATGTTTGCAGAGACGAGGACGAGGTGAAGGCTCAAGAGGAGCATCAGCAGCTGGTGCAGCGGGCTGCACTCTCGGGAAGGTGTCTGAATCGTGTGTCTGTCCGCGTCCCCAGAGGCAGGCGGGGTCACGGCCCAGACCATCAGCATGATGCCGTGTAGGCCGCGAAAGGAATCCTTGGCTCCTGGCATATGCTCTACGTGTGCGCGTCGCTCTGATACCTCCGGGGCCTGGACGTCAGCGTCCACAAGCTATATATCGGGGGCGAAAAAGAGGGGGGTGATGACTGGGGGGGGGTGGATATGGTGGGGCCACGATATTTCCCCAGATTTCATGGCGCCTCGTCTTATTTCATTACGTCCCTGCCCCCCCCGCTGGGCCGTGCACATGCCACCGGTCATGATTTGCACCCCCCCCTCTTGGACACCCCCCTCTTGGCCGCTCCCGAATATAGCAAAGACGCTGAAGGACCCCTGAGCCCCAGCGAGGTGCCAGGTCCGTCGGCAGCGGCGTTCTTGGAGGGCTGTCGAGGGGGATACCAAGAGGAGAAGGGGATACATACTTGCTGAAAGTGAGCCCTGCTTTCTCCCAAGGCTGCGATGGAGCTGCTGCCTCCTGCTGGAGGTTCTTCTTCGAGTTCGGCGCAGGCTGGGACGTTTAATGGCAGGAGAGGGGCGTCAGAGAAGGGAGGAGGGATGTCGATGATGGGGTGTTGATGATGGTTGTAATAGTGATGATGTGTGGTACGGAGATGCTGACCTGGTGTCGACGTGTAAGTATGAGGGGTACTACGATGATTGATATCATCTTTGTGGCAGCGGTCTGCCATTGATGGCCGGTGGTGGAAGTTTGGCGGCTGATGGATGGTTGTCGATGGTTATGGGTGGCGACGACGGTTTGTTGTTGAGTATTTGTTGTGGATCGGATTCATTGGCGTTTGGTAACACATCGTGAGCGGTGGTTGGCAATGATGATCGACGGTTGGTTAGCTTTCTGTGATCGTGATGACGATGGTGACGACGATGGTTGTAATTTCGAGGAGTGGTGGGCAAACGAGCACCGATGCCCTCATCATGTTGTTCGGCAGAACTCGGCGGTGCCGCAACGCAGAGTGGCTTCTTGTCTTATTTGAACAATGTCCTCCATGATCGTCCCTGTCTCGCTTCCCCCACCTCTTCTTTCACCCTTCCTTCTCTCCCCTCGGCCTCACTGCTCCCTCTCTTCCTGCTCCATGTTTTTTAGCATGTTGCTCACTCCCTCTGATCGCCCCCCACATGTTCTCCCTCCACTCCCTACCTCTTACCTCCTCCCGCTCCTTGCTCTCTCCATCTCTCTCTCTCTCTCTGTCTCAAGGTCCCCATCCTGGAGATCGTGGGGCTACGTAGTTGGAAGTTTGTTTGTAGCTATGGGGGGCCGTCTGGGTCCTCGTTGCTACTGGTTGTGTTATCCATGCTCTTCAGCCCCTAGTTCGCTCGCAGTCTGCAGCACTTCCAACCGATTGTATATTTGACCACCAGAAAGAATTTCGAGCACCAGAACAGTACCCCCAAACTCGAGGGTGTTCACGTGTCGGGCCCTGGGAGACACTCGTCCGACATTGACTCGACACTCGTTCGACAATTCTCGGGGTACTCGAAAGTATTTCTGGCATGTGGTCCTTAAGTACGATGGGAACAACTAGGGGGCCACTTGCGAACCCTACCCCTACCCCCCACGATTTCTGAGGGGGAGGGTGGGCTTCACTTCGTGCGGGAGCTCCCGAGCGAAGTGAACCCCACCCTCCCCCTCAGAAATCGTGGGGGTAGGGGTAGGGTTCGCAAGTGGCCCCCTGCCGCCTGGTCCAAGGTCCTCCCCCTCCTCTTCCTCCTCCTCCCCCTCCTCTTCCTGCTCCTCTCCTCCTCCTCCTCCTCCTCCTCCTCCTCCTCCTCCCCTCCCCCCCCTCCTCCCCTCCCCCTCCTCCTCCCCCCCCCCCCCCTCCTCCTCCTGCTCCTCCTCCTCCTCCTCCTCCTGCTCCTGCTCCTCCTCCTCCTCCTGCTCCTCCTCCTGCTCCTGCTCCTGCTCCTCCAGGGGCACTTTTGGTACCCCCCGACTCTCCCGCGCCGGGCGTGGGCTCAGCGGCAGCGCCGCCCCTCGCGCGCGGGCACGAGCCGCCGAGGCGTCCACCGACGCGGCGCAGGCCGCCGTGGGCCGGGGGAGCACGGCCCCTGCTCGCGCGGCGCCCCCCATCTCGGCGGCGAGCTCCTCCTCCTCCTCCTCCTCCTCCTCCTCCTCCTTCTCCGCGGGGCTTCTCAGAAGCCCTCTGGCCTTGTGAGAAGTCTGCTGAGCCTCTGGAGGAGGCACAGGAGACAGCTCAGAAGGCCGGGGGACTTCTTCCGAGCCTCCTGAGAAGACCTGCCCCTCCTCACTTCCCCCCGGGGTCGCCGCCGACCATCGCAGGAGGTTCGCGACATCCTCGGCGTCGCGGCGGCGCTTCGAGGGCTTTCGGGCGAGGCCAGGACGAGAACAGCCGTTCCAGAGCGAACGCTCTGAGAGGGCCGCGCTCCCGGGATTCCTCCAGAGCCGCCAGATCTCAGAGATTGTCGACTTTTGTCGCCACCCTGTTCTATCCTCGTCCTGGCTTCGTGTCAGGCTCGTTCTTCGGCGGAAGACTCGCCCCCATCCTATTTTTGCTGCTGCGGTGCGCCCAGTCACGGAGGGCCCGCCCCCACTTTGGGGTCGTTCAGAGAGCTAGGTTCAGCGTCACGGAGGGTCCCCCCCATCTTCGGTCGTCACGGAGGGTCTGCCCCCATCTTCGGTAGGGGGCCACATGCGAACCTTACCCCTCCCCCTCAAAAGCCGTGGTGGGTAGGGGTAGGGTTCGCATGTGACCCCCTATTCGGTCGTCACGGAGGGTCCCCCCCATCTTCATTCGGCGGCGCGCCGAAGGGGGAAGGCAGAGGGTGGGGAAACTGGAAGTCGCAGGCGATTTGTCCGCCCACTCCCTGAGCTCCGCCCGAAAAGTGTGGCCGCTCAGGAAAATGGGGAAACACCACAGGGGGGCTATTCGGACGCACCCCTTCTCAAGGATGGATGCCCCCAAGTCGTACATCCCAGTGTTGTGTCCCAAATCTCTGGCGCATTCGAAAAACCAACGAGGGCTGGGATAGGGATCGACATATCCCGTATCAAAAAGGTGCGGACACCGCTATTCCCCGGACCTCTCCCTGGGTGCGCCCTGACCAGAATTCCGAGGCGAATCCAGCGTTGGGAAGGGGAAAGCGGGCGAACGGGGAAGGGGTAGGGGTGCCTTTTCCTTCCCTGAGAGGGGGAAGGGACAGGGGTGCCTTTTCCTCCCCTGAGAGGGGGAAACCGGGCAAAGGGTTAGCAGTAGGGGTCCCTTTTCTTGGGGTGCAACTCCTCGGAGGTCAAGTTCTGATTTTGTACTGGTCCGGAGTCCACCTTAATCCCGCATATTCCGCTCAATCCCGCTTCATCCGGCTTAATCCCGCCTAATCCGAGGCCACTCCAGCGTAATACCTCCCAAATGGGGCTTAGTCCACCTTAACTCGTTCCGACGAGCCTCCCGGTAGTTGCCTCCTAACTTTTCCTCCTCCGAGAGGGGGCGGGCCTCGTCAGAGGGCTCGGCAGGCCCACCGACCTGCGGAGGAAGCTCCCGGCGCCGCCCCCCGAAGGTCACCGCCTGCCAGACCACCCCAGGCCAACTCGAAGGCCCCAATTGGCCCCCAAGTGGACGAACGAGCAACACACGCCCATACCCACAGGGGGGTCGTTGAGAGGAGGACTGGCTACGGGTATGGGGTGCGGGTTGTCGGACCCTGGGTCACGCTCCCGTTCGAGGGGGGACCCCCATCCGACAACACGCACCCATAGCCCCCTCCGACCCCCCTATGGGTATGGGTGTGTGCTGTCGGTTCGTCACCAGTCCCAGTTGGGGGAGGGCGTCGGGGAGCACCGAAGAAACACATGTGGAACCCGTACCGTACCCGCCCCCTGCACTGGGCGGCAACTCAGCTCGTGGTGGTGGTAGTAGTAGTAGTGTCAAGGGAGGAGAAACCACCCAGACCGGACAATTGGCGTTTACTAAACGGCCCTGGGCGTTTATTAAACAGCCCTGCCCTGATCAATTCCTTCTTTGGGCGCGTTTACTCATCGGCTTCGCAGAGTGCAATGCGCCGTGCACAGGAGTAGCAGGAGCATAGCCGTTGCCCAGAGTGCGTGGCACCATTGCGTTCTCAATGCGCAAGGTGATGATGGCGGGCAGCATTGTGATTGTGATTATGACGATGATGCCGACGATGTTGATGAGAATAGTCAGAATGGTGATGCTGCTGGTGATGACTGTGGCGACGGTGATGATGATAATCATGGTGGGGACGATGATGGTCTTGATTGCGGTGGCGGTGGCGGTAGCGCAGGTGCCTGCGAGGATGGCCGCGAGGGGGAGGAACAGGAATCGAAGTAATCATAACGAATTCCGAAAGGAGAAAGGAGGAGATTGGAGGGATGGGTTTTGAAGATGACGGGGTGGGGGTCGGTGGCAAGGGTGATGATGATGACGATGCTGATGAGGATTATGATGTATGTGGCGGTGGTAACGATGATGGTCACGATGGAAACATGAGAATGTATGAGGAGGATGGTGGAGCTAAGTGGGTGGCATGGTGATGATAATGCTGAAGAGAGGAGGACGAAGAGGAGGAAACGACGGACGATGATGATAGGGGATGACGGTGACTGTGCTGATGGTGGGTTCTTGTGGAGCTCGTGGGTCGTGGTGAGAGGCATGGTGGAACTGACGATCAGGATGATAAAGAGCCAAGGTAAGTATGCTCAGCTTGGAGGAGGAGTGAGGAAGGAGGCGGACAAGGTCCACACAAGGAATCCCATGTAATCCGCCAGACACGGGTAATGCCCGCCTCGGAAGGAATAGTGTTGTGATTCGACGCACTATGAATACATTCGTAACCCGCCACAAATTAGTTAAAGCCCGCCTCGAGAGGAATCTTTTTGCAACCCGCCGCAAAACGAATCCGTGTGCAGTTTGCCACAAAAGGATACAACCCGCCTTAAAAGGAATCGTTTTTCAAACCGCTGCAGCAGGAATCCATGTGTAGGCCGCCACAAAAAAAACATCATGTGTATCCCGACACACATGGAATACCTCTGCATAATTCATGTGTAACCCGCTGCATAAGACATCAATGTGGAACCCGCCCCACATGTAATACATCTGGCGGCCGTCACACGATTCTTCCTAGTTAGCCCTCACAAATGAAATCCACTTGTGGTCCACCACAAAAGGAACCCACTTGTAGGCAGCCCTCGAAGGGACTCTTCTGACAGAAGGTTCAACAACATCAATCTCCTACCAATGCCGCGCTACAGCGACATTAAATGTAATCAGGGGGATTGGTCAAACCTGCAGACACACGAACACGAGTACCGACACGACAACACGAACAGGACGAACAAGTGACCATGACGAAACGGGGACAGGACACGAAAGTAACAGTACGAACAAAGGACAGGACGAACCGTGCACATGACGGTGGAGTATATGTTGCTTCCTTTTGTTGTAAATTGCAATCGGATTCCTTCTGTGGCGGGTTACAGGGTGATTCCTTCTGTGGCGGGGTACACATTGATTCCTTGCGTGGTGGACTACAAGAGGGTTTCTTGTGTGGTGGCTTTCAAGTTGGCTCCCTTTGTGGCGGGTTACACTGGGATTCTTTCTGTGGCGGAATATCAGCGGATTCCTTTTGTGGTGGGTTACAACAGGGTTGTTTTGTGCGGCGGGTTGGAAACCCATTCTTTTTGTGGCGGGTTACAAAGGGATTTCTTCGTGGTTGGTTAAACTAGGATTCACTATGCGCTTGTAACAGAATGATTCCTCTTTTGGCGGGTAGTTGATTTTCCTTGTGTGGGCGATTGCAGATTGGTTCCTGTTGTGGCGGGTTGCGAATGGATTTCCTTTTCTGGCGGATTACATGCGGATCCTTTTCTGAGGCGACTTGCAAATGTATTCGTTTGTGGGACAGTTGGGGGGGGGGGAAAACGAAATATAGAGAACAACCATTATGAGTTTGTGAACATTTTGTGTGGTGTCATTGTTGTTGGTGTCGGAAGCTGAACGGACTTTGAAAACACAGCGTTGTCAAGCGCTTCAAATCGCTGTGTCTTACAAGGTGTTCGGTTTCGGGAAATAAGCGTTTCGGAAGCTCTGGATGTTGAGAACGCAGTGTTTTCAATTTTTTTTTGTTTGCCCCTGGCACCCCAAAACATAAAAACACAGCACGTCGACCAACATTATCCGATGATTCACTTTTGTTTGGTTTCTTTCTTTCCCTGGTTTCCCCCTCAGGACCCCCACAAAGAAATCCATGCGTAATCCGCCACACGAGGAATCCTTGCATCCTCATCCTTTTTTCCATTATTCCTCCTCTTTTTCCTCCTCCTCCTCCAACTCCTCTTCCTCCTCCTCCTCCTCCTCCTCCTCCTCCTCCTCCTCTTCCTCTTGCCATTATTCTCGCCGCTGCCGCCCACCCCGTCACCGAACTCGGCGCGCCCTTTTATCTGGGCCTCTCCTCTTGCCATTATTCCGCCTCCTTTTCCTCCTCCTGGCCACTACTTTTTTTTAAACGATTATTTCGGGCTGTCAAATATTCTATGTCTATTGCCTCCTGTTGACATGGCAAGGTTAAATACTGCAGCCCCACGACTACCGCCCCAGTACTACAGCTCCAGTACTACAGCCCCGATACTACAGCCTCACCATTACTGGTCCAACTTGTAGCTCCAGTGGTACAACCCCAAAACTACAGCCCCGCTGCTAGAGGTTCCAGTACTCCAAGGTACTTACAAATCCCTTTCGTAGCCGATTCCAATGTGTTCCTTCTGTGGCCGATTCGAATCGGATTCATTGTGTGAGGATGTCCATGGGATTCTTTTTTCAGCCGATTTCACTAGGATTCTTTTGCAGCCGATTTGAATCGGATTTCTTTTGTAACCGATTACGAAAAGGATTATTGTTGTAGTCGGTTTCCATATGATTATTTTTCGAAGGATGTCATTCGGATTCTGTTCGCAGCCAATTTTGATAGGATTCCTTTTTCGAAGGATTTCAACCGGATTCCTTGTCTAGCTGATTTCAATATAATTCCTTTTGTAGCCATTGCAACCGGATTCTTTATGTAGCCGTGTTCGCAAGTTTGGCATTTGAAGCGTTGTGTTTTCACAGGTCTTCCACATTTGGACGAGAGAACACAGTGTAAAACGGAAGAATGCCAAGCTCTGGAAGCAAACAACATCATTTTCACAAAAGTTTGAAATGGTCGCAACCACAGCATTTGAAACCGAAGACCTCGCCGCCCCCTGGGGGGCTTGCAATCTGCGGAATTGTCGGCACTTTCGTGGGCTCCTGGGAGGCCCAGCGGAGGTACGTCATACGTGGACCACCTCGAGACCTCGCCGCCCCCTGCAGGGCTTGCGATCTGCGAAACTGTCGGCACTTTCGTGGGCTCCTGGGAGGCCCAGCGGCGGTATTTCATACGCGAACCACCTCGAGACTTCGCCGCCCACTGGGGGCTTGCATGGAGCGGTCCTGAATTTAGTCACCACATGTGTAGAAAGGGTTGGGCACGTCGCAGGGTAATTTGAAGTTTTGTTTTTCAGAGATTGAGATTTTTCGCAGGTTTTGGTTTAGAGATTTGCAAGTTTTTTTAGAGCTTGATATTTCCGCAGGTTTTGGCTTAGAGATCTTTTGAAGTTCTTTTTGCGTGTGAGTTCCTTCGCCCGACATGGCGGTGGACCGCCTGCAGTCGCTACTGCCGAACCCAAACCTTTGGCAGTGGTGGTTGAGAATCGGCCCATCAGCCTGAGCTCCCGGTGCTGCCGGGAATGGTCCTGGCCCTCACAGCCAAGACGCTGAAATAAGGAACGCCTCGGGTGCGGAAGGGGCTCGCTGTTCCTTAAATTCTTCCATGGTTCCTCCTTCGCTCCGCGTGCACCTAGGCGCGTCTGGGGCCAAGAGGAGGCTTCGTTCCTTATTTAGCGTTCCTTCTGATAGTACATCGACTGTAGTGCCTCCAGCTTCCCGCTCTCCCCAGAGTGCGTCGTGCGCGAACGCGCGTGTCTCTGCTATCCTGCTCTTCTGATGAAGCTCGAGGGGGGAAGGAGGTGGAGGACGAGGAGGAGGAGGACGACGAGGAGGAGGAGGAGGAGGACGAGGAGGAGGAGGAGGAGGAGGAGGAGGACCCCCCCATCCCCCTTTAACTTGTGGTGGTGGTGGTGGTAAACAGGCCCACCATCTTCGGGTGCTGCTAGGGTCGATGTAGGGACAGCTGCATCATGAGCATGAACGTGTCGAGCTCCGCGCGGATTTATCGGTTCGGCGCTGGGCACCCCTTTGCGGCGCTTGCGGCGCCGCCCCTGGCGCCAGAGAAGGAGAAGTCCGCACGGTCCTCCGAAAATTGATGTCGATGTTTTTTGTTCGGCTTCTGTGGAAGTGGTCCCGGCCCAATGTGTCTCTAGCTGTTGGCTCCATTTCGGAGCCCCTGGGGCCCCCTGGGCCTCAAGAGGGGTGCGCTCTGGACGCCAGCTGGGCTTGCACAGGAACCGTGGGGGCACCTTGGGTCAGGGGCACCTTTGGCGCGCGAGTGAGGAACCAAGCCTGAGATCCTGGCGTGCCAATTCTTCCGAGCCGGGCGTGTCCGCCCAGACTCTTGTGAGGCCTCTCCTTCTATCCCCCCCCTCTTTGTTAATTCAAGCTTCGCGCGGCCCCCTTAGCTTCGACCGGAGGAGGTGCGCTCTCGACCCGCGGATCATTGATCCGCGGGTCGAGAGCGCACCTCCTCCGGTCAAAAAGTGTTCGCCCCGATGCCTGCCCGGGGACCCTCCCAGATCGATCCGGCCTGAGAAACACGGCGCAGACCTCGTGGGCGCGAAAGACATAGCCATCTCCGCGGCCTCGCGGGCCAGGCCCTTGGGCCGCGACCCCGCGGATACGTCGGAGGGAGGAGAAGCGATACCAACACCACCAGGGCGACGTCTTATCAGATCTCAGATTGTCCTATATTATCGTATGTCCTCCCGCGTCCGATTTCAACTTTGCTCGAGACGCCGGGTCTCGGGGAAAAGCCGCATGAGCATTCTCTGTCAGGCGTCCGCCGACGGCTTCCCCGGCGCTCGCGTAGGCGCGTGCTTTTCGGGGTTTGCTCGCGCGCGAATTTCCCGCGGAAGTCAGGGGCAGCGATATCGGAGGGAGGAGAAGCGATACCAATACCACCAGGGGGCCCACCGCCAGCGAGGAGGTCCACGATGCCTTTCCGAGCTGGAGGCTCTGAGGATGTCTCGAGCGGGAGGGGGGGACCGCACCACCAGGGAGTTCCCCCTTGCCTCCTCGCACCTCCTCGCCCTGCTGGTGTTGTTTCGCCGTTCCTTGTTCCCAATACGGGGCGTTGTCTCGCGGATGCTTCGCGCTGAACGTGTCAGTGCGACCGCGCATCCGCGGGATTGTGCCCCCGTATCCAGACCGCGAGGGCGCGGACATGGATATGTATTCCGTTCGTGGAGATAAATGGGGTCTGTGGGGCTCCACTCGCGATGTCTCACGATGTTTCATCGGCGTCGCCCAACATACAGTGGATACCCATACGCTAGTTTCCTTAGGTTCGATTGTTTACCAATGGGAAGCGTGCGTGACGTTCCCACACCCTTGCCTCCTCGCACCTCCTCGCCCTGTTGGTGTTGGTGTCGCCTTTCCTTGTTCCTACGATAGGGGGGGACAGGCCCCCCCTACAGTCAAAAGTCCTGATAAGGACGCGAGACTTTGCTCAGGGTACCCTTGCGTCCTTGCTCTTCCTTGCTCTTGCGTCCTTGAGGTTTTCGTCGTCCGCCGCCCCAGAAATCCCAGCTTCGGTTTCCGAGGGTCCTGCGTTCTTGCCGCGCGTCCTTATATTAGGGTTGTTGATTGGGTCGCGGGGAGCCGCGGCTCCCGGGCGGCCCCCCCCGGGCGGGCCCCGAGCGTCCGGGCGGGGAGCCCGCCGGACGAGCCCCCCGCGCGCGCGCTGCTCCGAGGGCGAAGTCCGGCGTGTCCCTCTACAGGAGAGATGTCCAGACATAAGATCAACAGTCTGGGGACGATTCAAGGAATATTCACCAGCCTCGAACTCATCATCCCTATTCGGGGGTGGACAGAACCCCCAATAGTGACACGTCGATTAGTGAATTGTCCGTTTTCGGTTTTCGAGAGGGCGCCGTGGCCGTTATTTTCCAGGCTTGCGCCCGCCAGGGTTGGGCCCGAAGTCGTTTTCACTAAACCACGTTTTACTAAAGGGAGGTCTGTCCATCCCCGACCTATCCGTAAAATGGACACGCCAAAAGGCGATGGTAATCTCAGGGACGCGCCCTGGAAAAATAAGGGAGTCCCTAAGATTGGCATCGTGATGAGGAGATGCCCAGCATAGGGATAGGGATATGTTCCAGGCTGGTAAGAATTGTCTAGACATAGTAGAACAAATAGTCAGGGGGCGATTCAAATAGTATGTCTGACTATTGCTGAATATTCAAGAAGTGGCGAAGCGTCCTGGCTCGCCTGTAGCCGTACCACAGAATGTTCTAAAAACCTTTGTGGATTCCACGAAATGTTCTTAGAACATTTCTGGCGGAGTCTGTCTTGTTTTATCACATCGGGTTTATATTCTAAGAGCTTTGGTTTTGTTCTTAGAGCATTCTTGGGTTCTAAGAACTTTTCGTTGTAGGACTATAGGAATGCCGGCACGGTCGGTTCCTGCTCAACATATGTTTCAAATGTTTCTAAGGTTTCTCCCAAAGCCCGCCTGTGGGAGGACATCCCCGACCGAATCCGAGGGACGCACCACGGGGACGACGACAGAGTTGCTGCGGGAGTTTCTCGATGCCGATGTCGGTCATGGCCCGTGTCGGTCGTCGCCGATTGGCGATGATCATCCGCGAGTGGGCGCTGACAAAGGTCGACGAGGGTCGGGGACGATCGGACGGGGCCAGGACGATCGGGGACGATCGGACGAGGACGAGGGTCGGGGACGATCGGGGTCGGGGACGATCGGACGAGGACGAGGACGAGGGTCGGGGACGGACGAGGGTCGGGGACGATCGGACGAGGACGAGTCCGTTCCGGAGCGTTCCGGGACGCTCTCCGAGCGTGCCGGAACGCTTCGGGGAAGCCGCGGTGCCCGAGGCATCCCCCAGAGTAGCGGGATCTCTCCAGGATTCGGTTGCGGGACGGAAAAATGACCACGGCCACTGCTTCCTGTTTGCGTCGCTTTCCAGCCGGCCGAAAAAGAAGCAGTGGTTGTGGTAATTTTCCTGGTGCCAAACTTAACGAAAATGACCACAACCACTGCTTTGCTTCTGCTGGTTGGAAAGCGGCAGCAGAAGAAAGGCAGTGGCTGTGGTCGTTTTCACGTTCCGTATCGACTGATCCTCACCTGATTGTCTCCTCGTGCTGGCTTCGCCTCGTCGGCGCGACGCTTCCACGTGAAGTCTCGCCCCTGGCCCCCGTTCTCTTCCCCCTCCCGTGAAGTCCACTGCAGGAGGGACATCCCAAACAACTTTTCTACTATGTTTGGTAATTTTGTTGTTTGATATTGTTGTGCTATTTTTGTTCTCTCAAAATCCGCCTGTATGGGTGAAGGGGAACTGGGACACACAAATAAATACACACAAATAACAGAAGTCCCCTATATTTTTCCATATGTTCTGGGTGTCTGTCTTCCCCCCCACTTCCTATATTTTCTCATATTTTCTGGGAATCGACGATTCATTGTGTCTGTGTGCTTTTCCCCCTCCTGTATGGGGACATGCTCGACCTCACCCGCCTGGGCCGCCGCCTCTCCCGCCCCGCGCGCGAGGCTGCCGGGGAGCCCGGCGCTGCCGCCGCGGCGGGCGGCGCCGCCCGCGCGGAGGTCGCACAGCCCGCGCAGGCTCGTCGCGGGGCGGGGAGCGAGCAGTGGCATAAACTTATGATGTTCGGAGGGGGAGGAGGAGGAGGAGGAGGGGGAGGGGGAGGAGGAGGAGGAGAGCCGCGTGTGCAGTTTCGGGTGTGCTGGCGCGGGCGTGCCCCACCGCCTGGGGGAGGGTCCGCCCCCCAGGTGGGGTGCTCGGCCGCGGCGGCGTCGGGGGTTGATAGGCCTCCTACCCCGACACGTCGATTCATGAATTGGCCGTTGTCGGTTCGCGAGAGAGCGTCGCGGCCGTCATGGTTGCGGGTCCAGGTCCGTCGGCTTCGGTCCCAGGCCGTTTTCACTAAGGGGAGGTTTACTAAAGGGAGGTTTCTCCACCGCCGAGATGTTCCAACCTACTTTAGCCTTGATCACCAGAGATAGTTCCGAGCACCAAAGAAGTACCGACGCTCGAGGGTTTTCATGTGTCGGGCCCGGGGAGGTACTCGCCCGACACTGCTTCGACACTGTATCGACACTTTTCTGGGTGCTCGACATGATTTCTGGGACGTGGTCTTTAAATACGATGGGAGCGACATAAACATAAACATAACAACTCAGAGGTCCGCGTGGATTTCTCGGATCGGCGCTCGACCGCCCTCCCTGGCGCGCGGAGCGCGTCAGGGGCGGCGCCGGAGGCGCCGCCAGGGGGCCCCAGCGCCGATCCGAGAAATCCGCGCTGACCTCCGAGTTGTTGTCTTTATGTAATTGTTCGTTTCCTTGCCAGCACTAGCGGGGCGGCAGGAGGGGAGGGGGGTCCTGGATTGGAGGGCCAAATCAACATCTGGGGCCAGTGCCGAGTATCGTTCTCGCGTTCTAGCCCACAGATTCCAGGGACACATTGGGTGCTGTGATATCCATAGACGCATTGGGGGTGGATGCGTCTATGGACAGCTCGGTCGCTGCTCGGAGAAAGGGTAGATTGAAGTCGGGCCTGTCCCTCTACAGGAGGAAGATTCAAAAATGAGGAAGAATCGTCTGGGGACTGTGTTTGATGATTTTTCTGCTTATTGGGTGTTGTTTGTGTGTGAGTGATTCTGATTTGTCGCCCAAAATCCGCCTGTAGGGGAACACGCCCGACCTACGGGTAGATCCGTCTACGGTATGTTCTTGTTTCAGAGCAGGTCCCACATGGTGCTCCAAGTCCTAGATCGTCGGCGAGCGAGGGGGGGAAGTGAGAAGGACCCCGGAAGGTTCATGACGGAAGGCTATTCATAATTTTTAGTTTTGGGGGGCCTTTACCGGGCCTCGGGACCGTCAAACACAATTCAGGATGAGACTCTGGTCCCAGGGAATGGGTCCAGACCTCTGAGGGTCGACGTTCTGAACAAATCATGACGTCAGGGGTCTGGGAACACTCTTCACTCTTGAGGCGTCGTCGGTCGTCAGGGAGGTCCTGCTGGGGACCTCCCTCGGCGGCGAGCGAGGGGGGGAAGTGAGAAGGAGAAGGCCTTCTCGGAAGGCGGCGGGGCTTCTCCAAAGCTCTGGCGCCTTCAGAGAGGTCTCCTGTGTCTCCACGGGAGGCTCAGACGATTTCTCAGAAGGCCAGGGGACTTCCGAGTCTCTGAGAAGGCCCGCGCCATTTCGCAGAGGGGAAAGAAATAGAGGAGGGGGGGGAGGAAAACGAGCCTACAGCGACGTGTCTGGCGACGTCCCAGCGTGCATCTTGCGCCGGCGATGCGAGATACCAGCATCCAGCCTGGAAGGTTCCACTGGGGGAGCCTCGGCAACAGATCCTTCGATCCCAGAGCGTTTACACATTGGGCTACAGCCTCCAACATACGACTCCCCGCCACCTCCCCATTCACCACCTCCCCAATCCCTCGACCTTTCACATTCACCAGCGCAACATACCGACTTTCAGCCAAAAAGATCCGACGCTGCACTGTTACTTCAACCCATCGACCTTCAACAAACATCTGCTCACCAATTCAACACTCAGACTGCAACAAACGGCTTCCCGTATCCACCTCTACCACTCGACCTCCGGCCACCGCCAGACCAATACTCCGACCTCCAGCCTCCGACATCCGGCTGCGACCACAACCCATCCACGATCATCCACAAAAACGCGAGGAGCCTGTCTACAGACGACTCGATCGACCTACTGATCTGCGAATTGGGAAAACATACTTGGGACATCGTGGAAATAAACGAAACATGGAGGACCGAGCAGCACGAGATGTGGACTACGAAACTTGGATCGCATGTTTTTGCGGCAGCCGGTCACACCGCTACATCACGAGGTGTTGCTTTCTTGATCCACCAGCGGCACGTACGCAGCATCAAGCGTTTCAGACGTATCAACAAACGCATCGACCTCGACATTGGCAAGTGCAGGATGAGAGTGACGACAGCATATTTTCCTCATTCCGGGGTCGCCGACGTTCACGTCCAAAGTATGTATGATTGCCTGACCGCCATTCACGACGACGCCGCCCATCAGAAACGAGTCGCAATCATCACTGGAGATTTCAACGCACAAGTTGGACAGCGACCAAACAGCGCGGACGACGATGTCAATCGCAGCGCAAGCCGAAGACAAACCGTGGGAGCACATGGACTAGGAGATTGCAACACACGTGGAACGTGGTTACGAGCTTGGGCCAACACACAAAGGTTGGTTATCACGAGCACCATGTTCTACAAGCACCACCACAACGTTTTTACGTACACCAGCAGCGGAGAGCATCCAACCCAGTCTCAAATTGACTACATACTTATAGGTAGATGTCGCCGCAATCAAGTACTCGACGCATTTGCCACCAGCACTCCGGACCTCGGTTCAGACCATCAAGCAGTATGCATGAAGATGGTCCTCAACCCCACGAAACCCAACAAGAAGAGCAAACGTAGACGACGAACACCCTACCAATCATCTCTTCCGCCCGCCGCCGACCCACTTTACCAGCAGTGCTTACAGCGCCGACTCGACGATCACGACCGCACAGCGAGTACAAATGACAGGTGCACCTACATCAACAAAGCCCTTGTCCAGGCTCACGAAGATTATCGCGAACATGCGCGAGCTACTGCACAATGCCCGGCGCATGGGGAAGACCTCGCAGCAGACCACAAACTACAAGAGCTCATCGTCCGACGACGTAACACACCACACTGACACAACCAAACGTGCCACGTTGAGCAAGCAAATATTGAGGCAATTTCGAACCATCAAACGAGCCCGTGACAATGCTAAGCTAGATGAGATTGTCTGCCAATTCAAAGGCCTCAAGAGGATCGCCGGTGTGAAGTCTTCCAAACAAAAAGACATGATTTCATCAATGACGACCCCAACGGGAGACGAGGAGACTGACAGGACAAGCATCGCCGACGTTTTCGCGGCATTGTACGAGCAACTCTACCGGAAGCAAGAGAGCGACAACAAGGATAATAGCACTGCCACAAAGGCAACATATTCCAACATACCGCCATTCACGATGGAAAAAATACGGAAAGCCATCAAACAGCTGAAAAATTGCAAGTGCAGCGACACTGCTGGCCTCACAGCAGAACTGCTCAAAGCAGGAGGCACGACCATTGAGGAGTACTTGCTGCAGCTCTACAACGACATTATCACACCAAGCCACCTGCCTTCCGACCAATGGAAAAGCACGACGATCACGGTTATATGCAAGTCCGGAGACCCCAAACTACCACAAAACTACAGACCAATTGCCATCATCCCGTTGTTGTAGAAGTTTATGTCTCGCCTCATATGCAATCGGTTTGAGGCAGCATTCGACGCACAAGAAAGCCCCGATCAAGCTGGTTTCAGGCGTGGCTACAGCACGGAAAACCACTTATTCACTACGGCAGTATTGTACGAACTGTCATATCGTTGGCAGCTACCACTCTGGGCAGCCGCAGTTGACTTTCAGAAAGCGTTCGACTGCGTGAGCCATGGTAAACTTTGGGAAGCTTTGCGACAGCAACACATACCTGCTGCATATATTGATTTCTGGCAACAAATGTACAGCGACCAGAGAGCCACAGTCAGAACAGACACTCACAGCCGGCATTTTGACATACAGCGGGGAGTGAAGCAAGGAGACCCTCTCAGTTCAGTCTTGTTTAATTCGCTTTTGGAACACATCTTCCGACAACTCAAGACCAAGTGGCACCAAAAGCGTTGTGGCATCAGGCTTGGCTATGCACTAGAGACTAGCATCACCAACCTGCGCTTCGCAGATGACGTCCTGCTGTACGCCCCGAACCTACGCCAGCTTACCTGTCTGCTACGCGACTTGAACAACCAGGCGGCGTTCTGCGGATTTTCACTACACCCCGACAAGACCAATCTCCTGACGAACGTTAGCCGGAGGATGGGTATAATCATAACGCGCATCAAGTTGGACGACGTACGCATCGACATCTTGCACAACGACCAGAGCGCACAATACTTAGGCAGCAAACTGTCGTTCCACAATTTCCACGAGTACGAGCTAGCAAACAGGATCGCCGCAGGGTGGGTGAAATTCAACCAGCTACGGAATGAACTCACGAACAAACGGTTCTCTCTGCACAGTAGACTACGACTTTTCAACGGCACAATCACGCCTTGCGTTATGTATGGATGCTGCTCATGGACTCTCACCAAGGACATGCTCCTCACGCTGCAGAGGACACAACGGAAGATGATTTGTCTGGTCGTGGGCGTGCCGAGAAGACGGCTCCGACAGGGAAACAACAACGCAGCACCCGATACCGACAGCACAACCGACGACACTGGTGACCAGCACGAATTTGGACCGCGCAGCCGAGACGACGACCTGGAGCCCTGGGTGGATTTCATACGCAGGAGCACACGCACTTCCATAAGTATTGCCGAGCGCATGCATGTGCAAAAATGGACACATATATTTCAAAACGAACTGGAACTACGCAGCTCGAGCCACAAGCCACAGTCACGACAAATGGACGAGACGTTGCATAATTTGGGACCCGAGCGTTCACGACGCACGACGAGCAGAACGACGACACGGCGGTCAACGGAAGACCTGGAAAGACGACATTTTGTCATGTCTTAAACCAGCTACATAATATAAATACGACAACCAACGGGTGGATATGGCATCGGATGCAAATTTGTGGAAAAGTCTTGAGGACGGCTTTATCGACTACATGGAGGACTTCCTTCTTCTCCCTCAAAGAGCCTCCCTGAGTCGCTTCGTGGCCCCATGGGGAGCTCCACCGACGGCCCCAGTGGCAAAGTTCATATGGAGGCCCCGCCCCAGTTCGGTGCACCCTCACACGCTTCGGGGCCCCACAGGGAGCTCCACCGAAGGCCCCAGTGGCAAAGTTCTTATGGCGGCCCCGCCCCATTTCGGCGCACCCTCACACGCTTCGGGGCCCCATGGGGAGCTCCACCGAAGGCCCAAGTGGCAAAGTTCGCATGGCGGCCCCGCCCCATTTCGGCGCACCTTCACACGCTTCGTGGCCCCATAGGGAGCCCCACCGAATGCCCCAGTGGCATAGTCTGCATGACCGGGCCGCCCCATTTCGGCACACCCCTCACACGTTTCGTGGCCCGACACGGAGCTCCATCGAAGGCCCCCCTGGCAGGGTTCCCATGGCGCCATAGCTTTCATTTCGGCACACCCTTCACGCGTTTCGTGGCCCGACGGGGAGCTCCACCAAAGGCGGGGCTCACAACTGCGGTACCCACAATTGCATATGGTTGGGTCCTTCGCCAGGATAATTTGGTTACCCTCTGGGCCATAACGCGCGTTATGCCCCCGACCCTTCCCCCCCCCCATAAAACGTAACGCGCCCCCCTCATTGACTCTGCCGCAGCGCGTCGGGCACCAGAGTCCAGGGGGCGGGGCGCGACCTGATGCCCCCTCCCGTCCCCCCCCCATCCCCTCGATAACGCCCGATGTGGCAGCGAATATGGACCGTGCCGAAACACGAAAGATCTCCTCAGACTATGTCTTCATCTCTGGAACGATCGCCTAACCTGTTGTGTGGCTTGGGATCCACTGCCCCTCTGGTGTCGGTTGTACAGAGGAAGGGGGCACAGAGGGCAGAGTGAAGGAATTAGTGAATTCCGAAAGGGTAGTTTTTGACGCGCCTCGAAGAAAGCGCGCGCACACGAAGTTGTGGCTTCGTCAAGTCGGGCCGGTCCCTCTACAGGAGGAATATTCAAAAAATCTCAAACATAGTTTGTGGACGATTTTTATTTTCGAGCATGTTTTATGTTTCGTCCAAAATCCGCCTGTAGGAGGACATGCCCGATTTAAGCCAAGTTGTGGCTTCGCCTGGTTTGGCACCTCGCCGAGCATCAGCCACGCGCAGAAGGGGGGTGGGGGAGGGGGGAGGGCTTCTTAGAAGCACCCCTGGTTCTTGGAAGGCGGGCCTTCTCTGTAGAGGTAAGGCCAGCACTTTCTAAGAAGCAGCCTCCTTCTAAGAAGCCCTCCCCCCTCCTCCCCCCTCCTCCTCCTCCTCCTCCTCCTCGTCGTCGTCGTCGTCCGCCCTCATCCAACCCCTTGTGCGCGTCGCCAGCTAACCCAAGTTGTGGCTTCGCCTGGTCTGGCAGCCCGCCGAGCGGGCACGCTGTGTCTTGGCAGAGGCGGCCTGCTTCGCGCCCGTGCCCCTCGCCTCCTCTCAGCATATACAATCGATGGGCCTGTTTTCCACAACCACGACCACCATAAGTTGGAGGGGGGATGGAGGTGGAGGACGAGGAGGAGAAGGAGGACGAAGAGGAGGACGAAGAGGAGGAGGAGGAGGAGGAGGAGGAGGAGGAGGACTCCCTCCCCCTCCGACTTAAGGTAGTGGTGGTGGAAAAAACCCATCAACACAGCGGCCCGGCTCGTGAGGGGGGCCACTCCCTCTGCAGAGTCCGGGAGGGAGCAGGAGCATCGATCTCGGCGACTAAAAAGGCTGTGGTTCTACTGGGGTGTTGTTTGCGATCGGCACCGTCGGGGCCTTTGGGGGCACGACGCTGTCCTCGTCGGGCCTCCTCGGGGCGCGGTGGAGAGCTCTGTCGAGGTCCTCGCCCGCCCCCCAGGGTGCCCCTCAGGGTGCCGGTTGCAAACCACACCCTTTGCAAACCACACCCTTCGGAGTCGCCGAATCGATCAGCGACGAGCGAGGGGGAAGTGAGCAGTAGAAGGCATTCTCAGAACAGGGAGACGAACAATGGCATGAGAATATTATACCTCGGAGAGCCGCGCGGATTTCTCGGATCGGCGCCAGGGAGGGGGGTCCAGCGCGGATCCGAGAAATCCGCGCGGACCTTAGAGTTTTGTCCCCTTGCAAAAGGCCGCGGGACTTGTCAGAAGCGTTCGCGCCTTCTGAACAGTTTTTTTGTGTCTCTTCGGAGAAGGCGCAGGACACTTCCCAAATGCCAGGGACCTTCCGGGCCTTCTGAGACGGCCTCCGAGCATTTTCGTTGGGGGGAGGGCAAATGGCGAAATGTGAAATGCCGCTTCGATGGATTTTCGAGGTCTGAGTCTGCCAAAGGTGAGCCACAAGACGGACCGATCTTCGAGGTGCAGAAACCATATGAATTCCACCCTGAGCCCTCCACCCTACAAGCCTCGTCAAACATCAACAGAAGACTTCTGAATTCGGTGATTGTGGGGTCAGCGCTACTTCAATGCTGACGGATGCCTGTTGACTCGGACGCGGTGTTGTCCAAAAACCGACCCCACCTTCTCAGCATTGAAGAACGCGTTTCCTGACAAGTGCCCGAAAGCATCTTGCTCGAGGATTTCAACTTCCATTTCTGGATTTTTTTGGGGAGGCTTGTAAGAAAATGCTCAGGACCCGCTCCTTCCTGTTGCCCCCCTGGGCGCTCGCCGCCACGGCAACGACGCGCTGCCGTCGGGATCCCGTCGGCGTGCTGCTCCTTCGCTTCTGCTCCCGGCAGCTTCTGGTGCCCCCTCGGCGGCAGGGGCGCTGGCGAGTTCCCCAGCAGGCGGCGTGGCAGTGATGCTGCGGGTGCGGACCCAGGGTTACGTCGGGCCTGTCCCTCTACAGGAGGGATACGTCGGGGGACGATCTTTTGACTGTTTTTGAGCATTTGGGGTGTATTGTTGGACTATTTTGTATTTCTCGTCCTAAATCGGCCTGTAGGGGGCCAGGCCCGACCTAAACCCAGGGAGGGCGTGCCGAAGCGGAAGAGGCTGCTGGCGCCTCCGGGAGGGAGGCGGCGGTCACCCGCCGCGCCCACCGCCGCCGCCGCCGGGTTGCCCGCCTCTGCCCTCGCGTCTTTGGGCAGCCAGGGGGAGGAAAAGGAGGAGGCGGAGGAGGAGGAGGAGGAGGAGGAGGTGGAGGAGGAGAAGGAGGGCAAGGGAGGAGCCGCCCTCAAGCCCCGCGCCGAAGGCCTCGGCCGAGGCCGACGCCGACCTGGGCGCGGCGCCCGCGGCGAGCGAGGGCACGCCCGCGCTCGCAGGCAGCTCCGCGCGCGCGCCGCATGCCCATGATGAGCCAGCCCCGAGCTCATCCCCAGCCCGAAGTTCGGCAGAGCCCAAGGCGAGGGCAATCCTGGGGATGTGCCCTCAGTCACCGAGCGCGTTCCACTACTCGCAAAGTGCCTACTCGCAAACGCCCGACAAAAACACATGGCTGCTTCTATGTAATTTCTCGTAGATCCCCCGCGGAAGATCCAGGCCATTTGCGAGTAGCTATTCTGCGAGTAGTGGAACGCGCTCATCTACTCAGGAACTGAGGGAATCCTTGAGACCGGCACCGAGGTAGGGTGGTGCCAAACATAGGGATAAATGCTTGAAGCTGGAATCTGATGTGCCCACGTGCGCCGCTGGCAGCTCCTGGTGCACCCCGTCAAGCAACGAGAGCCGTTCGCCACCGGGGGGGGGGGCGGGCCCCGAGGGGAAAGGGGGTCCTGGGGTGTGTCGCCGTGTCTCGAAACCACCTGCCCTCAATCCGTGAAACTCTTGCAAATCTTTAAAGCGAATGTGCGCCGAGTTAAGGCGAGTCACATTTTGAAAACCACCCGCCCTCCATCTGTGAAATTTGCCAACTTCTGAGCTTCACAATCATAAATGGTGAAGGAAGTCTCAGGCGAAACGCCCAGCCCGCCCTAAAAACTGGCTTCGGGGTGCGACAGGGAGAAGTTATGTATAATCAAAAGGAGTGGAGAAGGGGGAGGAGGAGGGGGAGAAGGAGGAGGAGGAGGAGGAGGAGGAGGAGGAGGAGGAGGAAGGAAGAGGAGGGTGGAAGAGTGAGGCAGAGGAGGGACGAGAGAAGGGAGGGAGGAGGAGGAGGAGGAAGAGGAGGAAGGGGGAATGGATGAGGAGAAAGGAGGAGGAGGAAGAGGAGGAAGAGGAGGAACAGGAGGAGGAGGAGGAGGGAGGAAGAGGAGGGTTGAAGGAAGAGGAGTAGGAGGAAGAGGAGGAAGAGGAGAAAAGGAGGAGGAGGGAGCACGAGGAGGAGGGGGAGGAAGAGGAGGAGGAGGAGGAGGAGGAGGAGGAGAGGAGGAGGAGGAGGAGGAGTGTGGCGGAGGAAGAGGAGGATCACGAGGAGGAGGAGGAGGAGAGGAGAGGAGGAGGAGGAGGATAGAGGAGGAGGAGGAGGAGAGGGAGGGAGGCGGATCACGAGGAGGAGGAGGAGGAGGAGGAGGAGGAGGAGGAGGAGGAGGAGGAGGAGGAGGAGGAGGAGGAGGAGGAGGAGGAGGAGGAGGAGGAGGAGGAGGAGGAGAGAGAGGAGGAGGAGGAGGAGGAGGAGGAGTTGGAGGAGGAGGAAGAAAGGGCCATGTACGGCCCCCGGACCGGCAGAAACGGACTTCAGGATAACAAGGTCGTCCGGGGGGGCGACGGCCCCGGCGCCCGGGGCCCGTCGTCTTCGGGGCCCGCTTGCTCCTCGGGGCTTTGCGGCGCCGCCCTGGGAGGCACAGCGCAGCTGCCCCGGCTGCGCGGCCTCGGCCGCGATCCTTTGTCAGGAGGGGCAGAGCACAGGCACAAACAATAGTCGATCCCCTGAGAAGTATGGGGAACCTGGCATTCGTGTCTACCTCTTTGTGTGTCTACTTGCATTCCAGGCCTCCCAGATGGGGTCGGAGCAGATGGGGTCGGAGGACCGCGCTGCATCGCCGACGCATCGTTGATGCATCAGCGATGCCGCTCGCTGTGGGGTCCAATTTTCTCCACGCCAGCTGCGCCACTGCATCGCCGACCTCGCCGGTGCATCGCCGATGCATCGGGGATGCGGCGCGATCCTCCGACCTCATCTGCTCTCCCCACCCCATCTACAGGAGGCCTCTCTGGAGCCAACGATCAGATTTGGTTCCCCCCCCTCATGCGCAGAGAAGCGCCCGCTCCTCGGAGAAGCGAGGGGTGGCACAACGACCACCAGGGGGTTGGGGGGGCACCTCTAGCGAGGGGGGCCCACGAGGCCTCGCTGCCACCACGCGATCGCAGACACGGATCAACGGGGGCGCGGATTGGTGACGGGTCCCGCCTCCATGGGGAATCGCGAATTTCCGCGTCCGAACGAGCCGGCACCGGCGGCATCTTGGGGAGGGCACCTCACCCGATCCATGGATTTGGCGACCGCGCGCCAAGTCCTTGGATCGCTGATCCGTGTCTACGCGCCCCCGAGAACGACCCAACCCTGGAAACCTGGGCTCCAAGCCTGGAGGCCGAAGCCGCCACCAGCGTCGGCAGCGCGGCGTCTCAGCCCTGGAAGTGGGAGGGCCGAGCCCTGGAGGCGCCCGGGCTCTTGCGCGGTGGTCTGCGCGGTGGACTGCGGCCGGAGAGCGCGGCCTTCAACCCAGACGCAATGAATCGCCGATTCCCCAGAAAATACGGGAAACTATGGGCAGTGGGGGGGAAGACAAAAACCCAGAACATATGGGAACAAATGGGGAATCCTCTTATTTGCGTGTTGTATGTATTTGTGTGTCCCAGGGCCCCTTCAGGCTCCTCGAGCGTCGCGGGGGGCGTTCGGCGGAGGGTGCGCAGCGGGGGGGTGCCGAGCGAGGGAGCGGCGTGTCGACAGGAGGGGGGCGCGGGCCTGCCCCGGGCGTGGCTAGGCGGCGGGCTGCCGCCGCCTGGCGCTGCCACGTGGATTTTTTTCTGTGCATTGTTACGTAACAGCGAAGACTGGTAGGTTTCTAATGGTCTCAAAAGAAAGCATCATGACTCCCCAGGGGGGTCCGGGCAGGATCCGGGGAGAATCCGCGGATCCGCCTGTGACTATGGGGAACGCACCACTGAGGCTGAGGCTGAGGCCCCCAGCGCCGCCAGTGACTATGGGGAATGCTCCACTGAGGTTGAGGCTGAGGCCCCCAGCGTCGCCAGTGACTATGGGAAACGCACCACTGAGGCTGAGGCTGAGGCCCCCAGCGCCGCCAGTGACTATGGGGAATTCACCACTGAGGCTGATGCTGAGGCCCCCAGCGCCGCCAGTGACTATGGGGAATCCACCGCTGAGGCTGAGGCTGAGGCTGAGGCTGAGGCAGGCTGAGGCTGAGGCTGAGACAGGCTCAAGCTGAGGCTGAGGCTGAGGCTGAGGTTGAGGCTGAGGCTGAGGCTGAGGCTGATGCAGGCTGAGGCTGATGCAGGCTGAGGCTGAGGCCGAGTCTGACGCAGGCTGAGGCTGAGGCAGGCTGAGGTTGAGGCTGAGGTTGAGGCTGAGGCTGAGGCTGAGGCAGGCTGAGGCAGACGCTGAGGCAGGCTGATGCTGAGGCAAGACTCATACATGAATCTCAAGGGCAATGCTTCCAGATATGCTTCTACACATCGCTGTTAGGTCGCTTTGCCGGGATAATTCTTCAGGAGGGGAAAAACACACAGACAGGATTCATCGTCGATCCCCAGGGAAATCTAGGAAAATGTGGGAAGTGGGGGGGAGGACGAAAAGCCCAGAGAAGATGAGAAAAACATGGGGAATCTTTTTATTTGGGGAGTTGGGGGGGGGAGACGAAAACCCAGAGAATATGAGAAAATATGGGGAATCGTTTTATTTGTGTGTATTGATTTGTGTGTCCCAGGGCCCCTTCAGTTTTGCCGATCGGCGCGGGCCCTCGCATGCCCCCACTCCCCTCCCCTCCCCCCCTGGAGTAGATCTTGTCTGTGTTTGGCGCCTGTTTCAAGCAGGTGGAGCCTCCCCAACGGGGCGCACGGTTGCAAGCAGTCGCGTGAAGCAGAGGTCCAGAGCCCCCCCCCCCTCCCCTCCCCTTCCGCGTCATGCCGAATCGCCGATTGAAAAACCTTCACCACGTAACGAGAAGGGTGGAGCAGTATTTTCGTCCGCCCCCTGCGTAGCGCAGAACAGTTCGAATCTGTATGTGCTCCCCCCTCGGAGTTGCCACTAGATCCTCGGGCAGAACTGCTGCCCGAAAAGGCGGGCGCACGCATGTGCGAATGGATGGAGTGCACAGGTGGTCCGACCAAATTTGTTGATTCTGGGCCTGCCCGGTGCCTGCCCAGCCACCGACAGAACTCACCGTTCCAGGTCGGTCGCGAGCGGCGCCCGACACTGGAGCGGTGGAAAGAAGGGAGGGGTGGGGGCCACTCGGGCTGGGAAGGTCCAGAGGCAGAGGGACGATGGAGATGTGGGCCGCTCATCGATTCCCCGCCATGTTCTGGGAGTGTCTGTCCATACGCTTCTCCCAGAACGTGGCGGGGAGGAGTTCGAGGTGGGGAGGGTGATGTGGATGGGGGAGCGTTGAGGGAGATTCGAAGGGGCGAGGAGGGGGGAGGGACGATGGAGGAGGAGGCCTTCCACCCGTCTGTGGCACGTGGCGAGTCGAGAAACATACTGTTTGTTTTGCCCACCCGCGTTACCATGCCACGGGCAAACCACAACGCTAAGTGTTTCCGTTCCCCCTGCGTTGCCACGTGATGTGTAGACTAGACTTGTACGTTTTCCGATGCTTGCGATGCCACGTGGCAAGAATCTGGGATAAACATTTGCCGCCTCTCTCCCAGGCTTTGCCACGTGAGGAGCAGGGGTGGGATAGTATGGCTTCCGCCCTTTCGCGCTGCCACGTGGCGAGCAGACTCGAATGATTGTTTCCCGCCTCCCCCCCTCCCCCTGCGGTGCAAATCCTCGGGCAGAAATGCTACCGGCAAAGGCACAAGCGTGTGCGAACAGAAGGAGCACACAGTGATGCTGGGCCTGCTCGGCGCCTGCCGAGCAACCGACAGAAGTCACTGTGTCAGGTCGGACGCGCGCGGCGCCCGGCAACGGAGCGGCGGACAAGGGGGAGGGGCGGGGGCGATTCGGTCTGGGGAGGTCCCAAGGCAGAGTGGCGAGGGAGGCAAGCAGGGTGTCTGGCCAGACCTTTTTCGCAGGTCCAGGCGGGGAGGAGTCCGAGGCAGGGGTGGTGATGCTGAGGGACTTGGTATCGCTGGGACGTGTGCACTGTTTCCCGGCGGGGATTATTCAGGAGCATCCCGGATCGTCCTGCGAAGAAGCCACGCACGAAACCGAGAAAAGCACAGGGAATGGACGTCCGAGCGATGGCCACGGGGGGAGTGCTGAGGGAGGGCCGGAGGGGCGAGAAAAAGGGGGAGGGACGGTGGAGGAGGGTGGAGCGAGCCGTCCCCTCCTCTGTCGCATGTGGCGAGAAGAGGAGGATGTTGTTATGATGTTCCAACCTACTTTAGCCTTGATCGCCAGAAGGAAGTTCGAGCACCAGAAAAGTACCCCGAAAATCAAGGGTTTTCACGTGTCGGCCCCTGGGAGACTCGTCCGAACACTGTTTCGACACTCGTTCGACTCCTTTTTCCTGGTGCTCGAAATTATTTCTGGGATGTGGTAAGTACGATGGGAGTAACACAAGGATATTGTTTGTTTTGCCCACACACACACGCGTTTTCACGTCACGGGCAATCCATAATGCTATGGGTTCCCGTTCCCCCTTGCGTTGCCACGTGACGAGTAGAGTAGACTAGTACGCTTTCTGCCCCTTTGCGTTGTTACACGGCGAGTATAACTTATCATATCAGTAGTTGTCGTTTCCCAGGCGATTCCAAGTGACGGGTCCAGAATCATTGTTTGCGTGGGACTCCCCATATGTACATCTATTAGAATGGACCTGTCCGCCGTGAGCGTTGAGGCGCAAGAGTTTCTGAATATTCACGGGCTTCATATTGACGGTTAGGGAGTGAATCGAATTGTGAATGAGTTGGAGTGTGAATCAGTCTCAGTAGTACGAGCGCGTCTCTGCGCATGAGCTTGGGGCTTTCTGGGGCCTCCTGAACGCTCCTGGGACTTCCTGGGGCCTCCTGGAGCCTCTTGGGGCCTCCTGTGGCCTCTTGGGGCTTACCGTTTCCTCCTAAGGCGCCCTACGAGAGGCCCAAGATATAGGAACAGACGTACATAAACCATTACGGCTTGGAGCCACAAGAGAAGGGCAATCTACATGAACACACGTAAACCACTAGGGATTCCTGCCCCAGGGGAGGCCACATCTATAGAAACATACGTAAAACACAGAGGATTCGCGCTACGTGGGAAGCACAATCTATAAAAGCAGACGTACAACACATGGGATTGAAGCGACTCTTGTGGCCTTCTGATGCCTCCTGCTCCTGGGGGCTATTGAGGCCCCCTGGTGCCTTCGGGGGCCTCCTGGTGCCTTCTGGAGCTTCCTGTGGCCTCCTGTTGCATCCTGAAGCATCCTGGAGCATCCTGGAACCTTCTGGACCCTCTTGGGGCCTCCTGGGGCCTCCTGAAGCCTCCTGTGGCATCCTGATACCTCCTGGTACGTCCTGTGGCCTCCTGGAGTCTCCTGTGGCATCCTGAAGAGGATCTGTGCCCACGAGTCTGACCAGCAAAATAGGCAAACCGCTCGAGACATCCTCAACATCTGGCGCCAGATAGGGGGCGAACATGAGTGCCTCGCTCGAGACATCCTCCGAATCTGCTCCGAAAGCGGACGATGATGAGCACCGAAACAGGCACACCGTTCGAAACATCCCCGCCATTTGGGCGCTAAAGGAGGACAACAATACCCCCTGGCGGCTCCCCTTTGGGGGTGCTGACATCCGCGCCTCGCTCGAGACATCCTCCAAATCTGTTCCGAAAGAGGAGGATGCTGAGTACCAAAACAGGCAAACCGCCTGAGAGATCCCCCCAATCTGGGCGCGAACGGGCCCGTGCAATACCCCCCGCCGCCCCCCCCTAGGAGTGTTGAAACCAGCCTCGCCTGAGACATCCTCGGAAACTGCTCTGGAAGAGAAGGATGTTGAGCAGCCAGGCAGGCAAACCGCTTGAGACATCCCAATCTGGGCGCGAATGGGCCCGTGCAATACCCCCTGGCGTCCCCCCTCGGGAGTGCTGAAACCACCGCCTCGCTTGAGACATCATCATAACGTGTATTTGAGTCTGAGCGCGGAAGTAGTGTGGCTGAGTCTGTGTGAGGAAGAGCGGGGCGCAGTATGAGTGAGTCTTAGTGTGAGTGAGTCTGGGTGTGAGTGAGTCTGAGTATGAGTCTGAGTGAGTGTGAGTGTGAGTGTTTGTGTGTGTGGGAGAGTAGTGTGATTAACCTTGAATGTGAGAAGCGACTCGAAACGCGAGTGAGTCTGCATATGAGTGATCCCGAGCATGAAAAACGTGCGTAGCAGTAATCTCAGAGCGAGTGCATCTGAGTGTGAGGTGCGTCAGAGAAAGAATGATGACCTGAGGGTGGAAGGTATGTTCTTGCTTCCTTCCTTACGGTTCCTTCTTGTGTTCCGCGCGGTCTAAGTAATTATTCACTGCGTGGAGCTCCCCATATGTGCATCTATTCGCGCATGGACCTGTCCGCCGTGAATGTCTAGGCGCAAGAGTTTTCGACCATAAACGGGCTTGAGTTGTGACGGTCTGGTCATGAATCTAACTGCGAAAGAATTGGAGTGTGAATGAGCCTCAGTAGTACGCGCGCGTCTCTGCGCATGAGCTTGGAGCCTGCTGGGGCCTCCTGAAACCTACTGGGGCTTCCTTTGGCCTCCAGGAGTCTCTTTGGGGCCTCCTGAGGCCTCCTGGGACCTCCTAGGGAGGATTCGTGCCCCAGGAGAGGCCCACTATATAGCAAAAGACGTACATAAACCATTACGGCTTGGAGCCAAAGGAGAAGGGCAATCTCTAGGAACACACGTAAAACACCAAGGACTCGTGCCCCAGAAGAGGCCCAAACTATGAGAACATAAGTAACACATGCAGGATTGTGCACACAGGAGAAGGACAATATATAGAAACATACGTATAACATCAAGGATTCGTGTTCCAGGTGAGGCCCAACATACAGGAACATACGTAACACATATGGGATTGGAGCCACTCCTGTTGCCTTCTGAGGCCTCCCGCTCCCGTGTCCTCTCGGGGCCTCCTGTTGACTTCCGAGGCCTCCTGGCGCTTCATGTGGCCTCCTGGGGCCTCCTGTGGCTTCCTGAGGCCTCCTGGAGCTTCCTGGGGCCTTCTGGAGCCTCTTGGGACATCCTGTGACCTCTTGAGTCTTTCTGTGGCCTCCTGATGCCTCCTGGGACCTCATGTGGCTTCCTGGGGCCTCCTGGAGCCTGTTGGAGCTTCCTGTGGCATCCTGAGGAGAATCTGTGCCCACGAGTCTGGCCACCAAAACAGGCAAACCGATCGAGACATCCTCAAAATCTGGCCCGCCTGGGGGGTGAACATGAGCGCCTCGCTCGAGACATCCTCCAAATCTGCTCCGAAAGCGGAGGATGTTGAGGTCCAAACAGGCAATGCGCTCGAGACGTCCCCGCCATTTGGGCGCGAACGGAACCCCTGGCGGCCCCCCCTCAGGAGGCGCCTCGCACGAGACATCCTCAAAATCTGGTCGGAAAACTGATCATGTTGAGGACCAAAACAGGCACATCGCCTGAGAAATCCCCGTCATTGGGGCGCGAACGGAGGCCGTGCAATACCCCTGGCGGCCTTCGCTTAAGAGTGCTAAAACCAGCAAGCCGCTCGAGACATCCTCCTCATCTGCTCATCGTCATCTGCTCATCGTCATCATCATCATCATCATCAGCAGCATCATCATCATCAGTATCATCATCATCATCATCATACTCATTTTCATTCACCATCACCATCATACTCACATCATACTCTCACCATACCATGGTCATCATCATGACAATCATCATCATCGTCTAGTGCAGAGTGGGAGGAGGGGAGGGAGAGGGAGGGGGGGAGGGGTGGTCCGGCGCGGTCGGAGACTAGCAAGGACCCCATCTTTTGGATATGAGGAAGAACAACACCAATCTTAGCATATGGGGAATAGTACTGATTGGTTCCGCCGCCTTGCGTGATCACGTGACGAGTAGAGTGGAATCGTATTGTTGTCCGCCCCCTCCCCACCCATGCGTTGCAACCAGATCCTCGGGCAGAAATGGAAACAGAAAAGGGTGCAAGCGTGTGCGAACGGATGGAGTGTGCAGATGGCCAAACCTAAGTTGGGCCCGCTCGGTGCCTGCCGGGCAACCGACGGACATCGCCGTTCCAGGTCGGTCGCGCCCAGCGCCCGACAGTGGAGCGGCCGAAACGGGGGAGGTGTGGGGGCGATTCGAGCGGGGAGGGTCCAAATTTAAGTTGGGTCTGACCCCCTACAGGTGGATTTTCGATGAAAAATTAAAGATACCCCAACAATAATCAAGAAATAATCAAACAATTAGTCTGGGGACTATTTTTGTAGCTTTCATTTTTCGTCGAAAATCCCCCTGTAGGGGGACACGCCCGACGTAAGTCCAAACCGAGAGGGGCGAGAGGGAGGCGAGAGCCGCGCGGCGGTGCCCCGCCACGCGCGGGGGAGTGCCCGGGCGCCTGGCCGGGTGCAGTTCCCAGAGAGCACGGAGGGGGGGGGGGGGGGAGGTCGAGGGAGGGCGGGCGGCGTCGAGGGAGGTGTGCCGAGGGTGGTGTTTGAGGGGGGGTGGTGCTGAGGGAGGGTGGTGCTGAGGGCGGTGTCGAGGGAGGAGTGCTGAGGGCGGTGCTGAGGGGTGGTGGTGTCGAGGGTGCTCGGAGGGGCGAGGCAGGAGGAGGGGCGAGGCAGGAGGGAGCCCTCCCCCCCGTTTCTGTCGCACGTGGCGCGCAGAGGCGGCCACCGTCCACCCGCGTTGCCACGCGACGGGTAGAGCAGAGCGCCAAGGCTGTCTGCTCTCGTACCTTGCTACGTGACTGGTCGGCTCGAATAGTGCGGTGTCCGTTCCTTGCGATGCCACACGGCGAACGTATGTGTATGGGTATGTGTATGTAGGCATGCATGTATGTGAGTACGTATGTATGTATGTGTGTATGCATTCGCGTATGTACACATATGTATGCATGTATACATGTTTGCCTGTATATATGTGTGTACGTATGTAAAACAATACATAGATACATGTGTGCATGTATGTGTGTAAGTTGTCATGCATGTATGTGTGAAGGGTTGTATGTATGTATGCATAGTTGCATGTGTGTACCTATGCATGTTGTTGTGTATGTATGTATGTAGGTATATATGCATGTATGCATGTGCGTGTGCTTGTGCATAGATGCACATATGTATATATGTATATGTATAGATGCATATGTATATATATATATATATATCTGTGGACACACACACATATATATAGGTGTGCGGGTGTGCGCGCTTGTATGTGCGTATATGCGTATATGCGTACACAGTCATGGTTGTTTGTATGTAAATGTGCAAGTAGGGATACCTGTGTGTATGTGCATGCATGCAGGTATGTACGGATGTATGGGTGTATGGATTCATGCATGGTTGTATGTATATGCTTATGCATGCAGGAATGTATATGTTTGTGTGTATGTAGTTATGTGCGTATGCATGATTATATGTATGTGCGAATGTCTGTCTGTGTGTATGCACGTATGCATGACTGTCTCTCTGTCTGTCTGCCTGTCTGCCTGCGTGCATGCGTGCGTGTATGTATATGTGTGTAAGTAAGTGTGTGTATGCATGCACGTTCGTACATATGTTTGCATGGCTTAATGTATGCATTCGTGCATGTATGCGTGTATGTATACATGCATGTATGGATGCAGACATGCATGCACGTATGTATGCATGCATGTGCACACCTGTGTATGAAAGTATGCGCTTGATTGTATGTAAATGTGTATGCGTGTCTGCATATACGTATGCATGTCTGTGTATAGCTGTATGTATATGTGGATGCGTGTATGTATGCATGCATGTATGTATGCATCCATGTAGGTATGCTTGTGTGTATGTGTGTACGTATGTATATACGTATGTCTGTATGCATGCATGTATGTGTATATGTAGGTATGTATGTAGGTAGGTAGGTAGGTAGGTAGGTAGGTAGGTAGGTAGGTAGATATGTAGGTAGGTAGGTGCGTATGTGTGTGCATCCATACATATACGGCTGTTATACACAGCGGTTCCCTTAGTGGCTCGGAGTTGTTGGGCCCAGGCTATTGGGTGGTTTCCACGAACGGTGCCTCCGCGCCATTTGTGGGATCGCGCCCGCCTTCGTCTCGAGGGCGAACGACGCTGCACTCATTCGCGAGACAGGTAAGGTCGTTCCGTCGGACGCCGTGGCGCCAGATGGGAAGCCTCCCGAGAGAAGCCGCTCTCTGCCCACAGTCTGTCGAGCCAGCTTCTGTGAAGCAGAGAAAGTGTCTGGCAGCGCGCAGATTGGATGGCCCGAGTGTTGCAAATGGCGAGAGTGACAGCAAACGGCATGGTACATGTAATCCTAGTCCTGGCGAGTGTAGCCACGGAGCGGAAGTTGCTTCGCTGGTCCGCTGCCATGCTTGTTCCCTCGTTGTCTTCCTCCGCTCCTCTTCTTCCCCTTGCCGCCCACCTCTTTTCCTCCCCCTACCTGGCTCCTCGGTTTCCTGCCTAAGTCCAATTTTTGGGCGGCCGATCCCACGGCGAGATATGAGGTCGTGATTGATCCACATTCGTGTCTTACGCACCTACGAATGCACGATTTCTTGACTTATCTAATATGTCCGAAGGGTATCCCAGACGAGCCCAAGAATGGGACAGAGGCTCCCAACGACCCCACGAGGGTGGCAAGAGGACCCCCAAACGCTTCAAACCTTTAAAACATATATGGAATGTCGTATGTTTCCTGATACCTGTAGGATTTGTTCTTGTCTTGGCTTCGTTCCCAGAGCCGCTTCGAAGCAGCCCTGGACTCCCACGAGGCCCCCAAGGAGCCAACAGAGGCTCCCCAAGAAACCTCCACGACGCCCTCAAGAGTGTATCACGGGCACCCCGATGGGCCCCCGAGACGCCCCAGACGCCCAAAGAAGGCTCCAGAGGCCCTCCAGCGATCACAGAGAGTCGCACGAGGCCGCGAGGGGTCTCAGGAGAGACCCCGAATGATGCCCCCGAGGCCTCCGTCTGCCATCTGGGATCCAGTTCGGCCCAAGCTGGCTGCTTGCTCGGCTCGGTGACGCCCGCTTGGGTCGGGGGGGACGAACAATGGCATAAACATAAAAACTCGGAGGTCCGCGCGGATCTCTCGGATCGGCGCTGGACCCCCTCCCTGGCGCGCGGAGCGCGCCAGGGGCGGGGAGGCGCCGCCAGGGGGCTCCAGCGCCGATCCGAGCCGCGCGGACCTCCGAGTTGTTCTGTTTGTGCAATGGTTCGTCCCCCTGTGGCAGTTGTGGCCGAGCGCGTTCCACTACTCGCAAAGTCCCTGCTCGCAGACGTCCGACAAACACCTATCTGCTCTGACGCAAATGATCGCATATCCCCCGCGGGGGACCCGGGCCCTCTGCGAGCAGTCAGACTCTGCGAGCATAGTGGAACGCGCTCGTCGCAGTTGGGCACGACGCCCCGGCACGCCTCACGATCTGCGCAGAGGCCTCCCTTGCCATGCCCACCGCGGCGGCCACGACCGGCACCGCCCTCCAGGGCAGCACCTCCGCGGCCTGCGCGGCAGCGGAGGCCGCCTGCGCCCCGGGGGCGCGCGGCGCGGGCGCGGGGAGGCCGGCGCCGGCGCCGCCGAAGCCACGCGCGCGGGGGCTGGGCGGGGCGGGCGCCGCGAGGCCCCGCGGGCACTCAGAGTCCTCCCTCCTCCTCCTCCTCCCCTCCTCCTCCTCCCCCCTCCCCCTCCCCCCCCCCTCCTCCTCCTCTCCTCCTCCTCCTCCTCCTCCTCCTTCCTCCTCTCCTCCTCCCTCCTCCTCCTCCTCCTCAGGGCAGAGGTATGGGCTCTGCAACTCGCGGCCGAGAGCGATCAGCAGTGGCAGTAGCAGGGTGAGCAGCAGTGGCAGGAGCACGGGGCGGAGGAGGAGGAGGAGGAGGAGGAGGAGGAGGAGGAGGAGGAGGAGGAGAAGAAGGTGCCGATACCTCTACCCTTCGCGCCTGTTTGCCCGCTCTCTGGGCGCCTTCTCGGCGGCCTTTTTGTCGCCACGGCCGTGTTCGCCCCAAGACCTTGGCCAGAGCGCACCCCGGGAGAGGTCTGGGGAGTAGCGGTATCGGTACCTTGTGGTCTCCCCAGGTACGAGGCCTTGCACGTGGTCGGTTCTGGGGTCTTCGGGACGGTCTTCATGGCGAGGGACCGCGAGACCGACGGCAGGGTGGTGATCAAGCGGTTGGCGGCCACCGCCGGCGAGAACGGAGTGCCCGCGAGCGTCATCCGCGAGGTGTCGTTGCTGCGCGATCTGGTCCACCCGAACATCGTGCAGCTGAAGGACTTGCAGATCGTCGGCCCCGACGGGTTCGATCTGATCTTCGAGTACATCCCTGACGACCTGCACCGGGTTTTGAAGGGTTACCGGAGGGAGGGTACGCAGTTGCCCATGGAGAAGATCGTGCTGTACTGGCAAGGTCTCCTCGACGGAATCCACGCGTGCCACACACGCATGGTGATCCATCGTGACCTCAAGCCGCAGAACGTCCTCATCCATCCCACGGACGGCCTCAAGATCTGCGACTTCGGCCTGGCCCGCATCTCCTCGCTCACAGTTCAGAGCTACACCCTGGAGGTCGTCACCTTGTGGTATCGCGGCCCCGAGCTGTTGCTGGGGCATCCCAGCTACGGCCTGCCGGTGGACATCTGGTCTGCGGGATGCATCCTTGCCGAGATCGCCACTGGCTACCCGATGTTCCCTGGGGACTCCGAGATTGGCACAGTCTTCAAGATCATGCAGCTGCTGGGCTCCCCCACGGAGGCGACCTGGCCGGGCTTCGAGCAGAGCCTGTCGTTCTGGAGGCCCAGCTACCCGAGCTGGCCGCCCACGGGCCTCAAGACGATCAGCGACCAGCGCCCAGAGCTTGGCGATGATGGGCCTGTTTTCCACCACCACCACCATAAGCTGGAGGGGGAGGGGTCATCCTCGACCTCCTCCTCCTCCTCCTCCTCCTCCTCCTCCTCCTCTTCCTCCTCTTCGTCCTCCTCCTCCTCCTCTTCCTCCTCTTCGTCCTCCTCCTCCTCCTCTTCCTCCTCCTCCTCCTCCTCCTCCTCCTCCTCCTCCTCCTCCTCCACTCTTTCCTCCTCCTTACTTACCCATCCCATTCGCGCCTTCACTGATCCGAATCTCAACCGAGCACACTGGCGCTGGGCAACTCTACACACCTAGAGCTAAAGCTTCCACCTCGGATCCAGCCCTGCTGTCGGAGTTCCGAACACACAGGGGCGGAACGCCGCCAGAAGGCGGCGGCCGAATGGGGGAACCGCCAAGGGTCCACCCCCTTTCAGCCGCAGGGGCCGAAGGCCCTCGGACCCGAGGAAGACGCCCTGCCCGAAGCCCCCGCCCGCTGACGGCCCGCGCGGGCCGCGGAGCCTCGTACCGAAGCTCCCTCACCGTCTACTTCTTGCCCTGCAACAGCTTTGCCATCTCGCCTCTGGGCGCGCGGCCTGGCTTGCGGGCACCTCCCCACTCTCTCAGTATGTGACTCATCACGCTGTTGAGACCCATCATCTTGACCCCATTCGTGAACGGCACGATCTCCAGTGGGCTCTTCTGCAGGGTGGCCTCCGCCGCGGCGTTCCCCCAAGCCTCGCTTTGCTCCTTGAGCAGCTTCTCTGCCGCCTCTGCCGTCACTCCGACGAGCACCTGTCCGAGGAGGGTGAGGGTCAGCCTGGCCTTCTTCTGGTCGTACGTCGGCGAAAACCCGTACTCCTTCACCCACTCGCTGGCCCCCGTCCCGTCCGTGTGGCTCATCATCAGGAGCAGGCGCTCGGGGACGCCCTTGAACTTCTTCATGGCTGGGCTTGACGATCCCTCGTTCAACCAGCTCGCGATAGCGGACAGATTGGAGCCGAAAATCTGCAACTCTGGCGGCCCCCTCTCGTGCTGTGGTCCTTCTTCCTTCACGATGTCCAAGTACCTCTGGTACACTTTGCGCCCGTCCTCGATTAACAAGTGGTCGTGCGGGAGGTAGATCTGAACGGTCTGCGCATACTCGAGTGTCCTCACCCGCGCTTCGAGCTGTACTGCCAGCCGTCGCGTGATCACCTCGTCTGACTCCTTGGTCTTGCTCTTCTTGTTGCCTGACGGCTGCGTCGTGCCTTCTTGCTGCCCTGAGTGTTGCAGTAGCCATGCCATCGAACTCGAGCTGGTGGCCCTGAATGTACGGGCTGAGGTGGCACTCTAAAATGTGTCGACGCAACTCTTGGGCCTCGTCCGCTACGAACTCACATAAACGGCAGTGTGAAATCATCATCCTGATCTCATTCCCTGATCTTGCACGGTCTACACATAGTCCTCTCTCGAACGCCCTGTGCATGTGCTTCTGCGCCTGCGCGTACGTGGTGAAGACCGTGCCGCAAATCGTGCACATATTGCTGAAACATGTGACTCTAAACAATATTCTCTTGCCATGCGTGCCGCCCTTCGTGTGCACGTAGTGAGAGCACAGCCTCGCTCGGTCTGGGAAACGTGCCTGGCACGGTCTACCCGCGTGATCTTCTGCCCAGCACTGGAACTCCCCGCCTACTTGACACTGTGCGTGCTCAGGCTCGTGCTCGGCTCTATGGTGAATGAAGTGCGCTCGCATGCCCGTCAGATTTAGCTTGATGAACTCTTCCCTACCCTCCAAGATCGCCCGGCGTGGATCGTGATCATAATACGATAAGAAAGTGTCGCCGTCCTCGTACGACGCCAGTTCCTGAACATCTTGGAGCCACTGCTGGGCCCACGGGTTCAACTTAGCCTCTGGGTCCAGGAACGAAGGCGTTTCCATGTCCCCGCTCTTGAGATTCCCGAAAACAACTCCCAGTAGCTGATCGGCCGACTCGGGATCGGCCATCAAACTCTGTAACCACTTAAGCCTCCTCATGCGGGCCTCCACAAATATACTGGCGCTCCCGAGCCTCGCGAGGACCTCGAGGTTGCTGGGTGCCCTCTTGGACCCATCCTCCCTGGTGGCCGCGACCCCTCCTAGAACGACTCGCCCTCTCCTCGCCACATAGCTCTCGAGCCCCGCGAAGTCCTGGACCTTCATAGGGCCCTGGGGCTTGACGAACGTTTCAATGCCCGAGATCACCGCGTTGACGACGTATCCCTTGTAAATCGAAACTTTCCACCTCTGGGAAACATTCGAGGTCCAGAAATTGCCCATGGAGGCCCAGGCTGCTTTTCCTGCGCGAATGCGGTACCCCATCTCGATCTGCACCGAGAATCTCGCTGTCATTCGTACTCCTAAATATCTAGCTGCTGCTGCTGCATGTCCCTCAAACACCCCGTCCGCTAAAATCATCTTTTCCAGATAGTACGCCCCTCGCCCACAACAGTATGGGACCGTCTCCTGCTTCGAAATGTTCTGGCCCAGCCCCATCTCGTTTAATGCCTGTGAAATCTCGATGTTTTGCCTCTTGCCCTCCACCACCGCCTCCCCCTCAGTCTTGAACTTGAACGTATCAGATATATCATCAACAAATAAACTCATGGCCGCCTGCTCCTGTCTCCCTGTCCATGGTGAAGTAACCTCAATACATGTTCTCGCCTTCAGTGCGTATTTTTCGAGCCCCCGAACGTAAGCCATAACGAATAGAAATACCATAGCAGGGTCGCCAGGCATGCATCCCTCTCGCATCCACAGCATCTGGTCGGTGGTATCGGAGAAGACAAAGTGCGCGTGCTTCACGCGATCTATCATCATTGTGATGTGCTCGTGCCTCATGTGGGCGCACACGACCTGCAACAGCTTACCCGTCTTCACCGAGAAAAATGCGTTCGACGCGTCATGGAGCCTCTTGGCGTGCTGGACTCCTGCGGCCTTCAACCTCCATGCCCCGCATAGTTGGACCACTATGGCTCCTTCCCGTCGTCGATGTTTCAGTGCTCCATAAGCCCATGACGGTGCTCCTGTGATATCTGCTCTCATCATGATGTGTCGGTAGTAAAATTTTGCCAGGCTGCATATAACCATGACCACTCGCTCTCCGTCAGCCCCCTCTTTATCGTTCCCCTTGTCTATCTTCGCCGCCTTCGCTCTCAACCAGTCTACTGGAAATCTCTGCGTAATCATAATAGCCTCCACCATCTGACGCACGTACATGTAAAAAACTGGCGTGCAGAGGTTCTCACACTCACTTTCGTGCCCAACGCCAGTACGCTGAACCATCATCTTCTCATTCACCCACTGCGGGAAAAAAAGACATCGTAATAGCTCTACACTCGAACTCCATTCTGGATAACTTCTCCACAACCGTGCTTTCCATATCGCTCTCTTGATCCCCTGCATCTCCTCCTCAACTTCCTCGGCAGTAACCTCCTGTCGTACCGCTCGTCCTCTTCTGGCCTGCATATCTGCGATGGTTGTCTCAACTGCCGAACATCCTCCATCTGGCCCATTTCTTTTCATCTTTTCCGTCCAGGCCTCGTTGGAACCTGGCACATGGTGTCGCCCGTACACTCGCTTGCGTCCTCCTCGTCTCCTCTGGGCCAACATCCTCGCCATCTTGTGCACTGTGTAGAAATCGTTCGACTTGACCGCTCTCATGAACTCCTCGCACCTCAACTCCTCGATCTCTCGCCAATACTTCTGCCGTTGCTGTCTCAACCATCTGCTGATTCGCCGCAGCCTGACAGTCAGCTGCAGCGCCTTCATCTCGTGGTCGAGGGACTCATCTCCTTCCTGCCGGGAATCGAAATCTGGCGGGGCATTCCTGCCTGTTTTCTTCACAACTCCGCGCGGCCTCCCTCCTTCCTGCCTGCTTTCTTCACTCAAAAATTGGAACTCCGAACGAATGTTGCGACGCTCCCACAGCAGCTGTCGAACCTCCTTGGCGTGTGCCTTGTGATCCTCGGTGTAGCCTCTTGTCGTCGTGCACCATTTGGTGGCCGCATTCTCGATCGCCTTGTGGATCGTTGAATTCACAAAGTCTGGTATGTCCTCCCACATCGTAGCAGCAAGCTCTTCCCGCCGCTCACGAAGTTCAGACTCCACATGTTGTACAAATGCCCGACGGTTGTCGCCGAGCTGAAGCATCTTCGCCATGCTCACCCTGTCAAGCTTCACCCTCTTGTCCTCAGCGTAGGGCTCGGCGACCACTTCCAGTGCAAACGAAGCTGCGACGGGCACGTGGTCCCAAATCCCGCTGAGGTTGTGCACCTGAAGTCTCCATGCGCTGGATGTGAGCGTACGACACCATCTGACTGCGCCTATCCATGTCTGGGGCACCATCAGGTAGTCCAGCGTCTTGGCGACTCCCTTGTTGAAATATGTCGGTCCCCCCCGTGCAAAATGCGTGTTGACCACGGCCAGCTCGTGAGCCATGAGCAACGGGGCGACCTGCTCCGTGGTGAATGTGAAGCTGCCTAGGTTGTGCAGCCCTGTGACCCCTTCGACGTTGCTGAACTGCGCGTTCATGTCGGTGCCGATGATCGGGGCCCATCGAGCCGAGGTTGCCGCTAATAACTCTGTCATCCATCCCACCATCGTGCGAATCGTCCTCTCCCAGCGTTCTCGCGGAGCTCGTCCTCGATTGGGGCAGGGAGGGAAGTACAGTGCAACCAATAGCAGCCTCAAAGGCCCCCGCTCGATCTTACATGCTGCTACCCGTCCTCGTAAACCTCTGGGTACTGGGATGAAGCCTCTTATACAACATTTCGGGAAACGTCGACTCTGAACCCATATACTCAATCCACAACTTTTATTCACATGCTGACTGCTATGCCAACCCCATTCCATTGCCCAGTGCGTCCTGGTGGTGGCGATGGGCTCCAGCAGGTCTCCGCTGGTCCTCCTCTGGGTCCCGATGAGGAAGATGAAATCTATGTTGCTCAACTCCTCTATCACATCCTGGGAGCGGCTCTTGTTCGCGCTGAGCGGATTATAGACGCAGAACGAGACCCCGCCACTGGGCCGCCCAGATCCATCATCGAGCCCCGCTGACTGTGTGGCATGCATTCTACACGCCTCAAGAGGTGGCAAGTTGGGGGGGAGCCCCCCCGATTCGAGAAGATGGCCACCTCTTTCCTCCTCCTCCTCCTCCTCCTCCTCCTATTCCTCCTCTTCATCCTCCTCCTCCTCCTCCGCCTCCTTCTCCTCCTCCCCCTCTCCAACATACGGTGGCGGTGGTGGAAAACAAGCCCACCAGGCGATGCCGGGATGGACCTGGTCCGCTCCTTGCTGGCCATGAACCCTGCGGCCCGGCCAACATCTCGGAGGGCCAAGGCCCTGGGCCTCCTCAGATGGGGTCGGAGTGGAGGGGCTGAGGTCGGAGGGGCGCGCCGCATCTGCGGGCAATACTCATATCCATATCCAGAGCGTCGTGGACTTGTTGGGAAGGGGTGCCGCAAGGCCGAGCCACACTGGGTATGGATAAAAATCGAAAACCTTCTGGGGCAAGATTTTTGTCCATATCCAGTGCGCCTCCGGCTTCTAGGGAAGAGAGCCCAGAGCTCCAAGACGCACTGGATGTGGATGTAAGTATTGCCCGCAGCATCGGCGATGCATCGGCGATGCGGCTCGATGTTCGACGAGCGCGTGCCACTACTCGCAAAGGAACTGCTCGCACATCACAGCAGACAGGTGTTTTTCGGACGTTTGCGAGTAGGCACTTTGCGAGCAGTGGAGCGCGCTCGGGGAGACGTGGGGCCGAGGTAACGCCGAAGTCGTTGCGTGCGTGGCCGAGGCATCGCCGATGCCTCGGCGATGCCTCGCCGAGGTCATCGGCGCCGCAGCGAGACCCTCCGACCCCCTCCGCTCGGGCCCGTCTGGGAGGCCTCTGCTCGGGCCGGACGAAAGGGGGGGATTGGGAAAGGAAGGGTTACGGAATCTGCTGCATGCAGCTGGTTTCGTCCCCACCGAGGGGCCCATCCCTCGGTACGTGGCCGCCTCCGGCGCCGGGCGGCGCCGGGAAAATCAGCTGCGCGAGCTGATTCTCGACCCCCCCCTTTGCCTTGGCATCGCTCGGACGTGTGCCTTTTTTTTTTTTCTCGGCAAGGACCTTCGAGGAGCATCCTCGACCATCTGGCGAAAAAAAACGCACGAAACCGAAAAAAAACAGGGAATGGACGTCCGAGCGATGGGCAGTTGCTATCCCCCCCTTTCGCCCGACCCGATCTGCAGGCCCACGCCTTCTTCGCGCGGCGTGGCGGCGCGCCGCCGGCGGCCGCCCCGCCCTGCTGAGAGGGGGGCGGTGCGCGTCTGCCCGCGGGCTGCTCGCGCTCCCGACGGCGCCAGGGGCCGCTCGGGGCCCTCGGGCCTGGAAGGCCTCGGAGGTGGGCAGGCCTCCTTTACGGTAGGTTTGCGTCGTGTCGACCAGCGGCGACCCCAGCGCGGGCGTTCAAGGTTGAACGCCGCCGGCGACCCAGAATCGATCGATGTTGAACGATCGGACGCTGCGGCAGCGGCCGATCGTTCAAGGTTGAATGATCCCTGCGGTGTCAAAAACCAACGCTGGGGTCGGCACGACACGAACCTGCCGTACCAATTTGAAGCATATCCCTATCTGTGTTTGACATCACCTCACCTCGATGCCGATCGTAAGGATCCCCTCGGTTTCGGAGGGCCTGTCCCTAAGATTGTCCTCGCTTTTTGCTCGCCCATCTTAGGGACAGGGATAAGTTCGAGGCTGGTTACTCCCTGCCCTGACACGTCGATGAGTGCATTGGCCGTTTTCGGTTCGCGGGAGGGCGTCGCGGCCGCCATTTTTACGGGTCCAGGTCCGTCGGTGTTTGTCCCAGGTCGGTTTTCGCTAAGGGGAGGTTTACGAAAGGAGGTTTGTCCACCGCGGAAGGCCGTCCCGTGCGGTCGTACGGCCATACTGTTCAGAGGAGGAAGAGGTACCCATACCTCTACCCTTCGCTGGAATTCCCCTTTTTGGGCCTCTTGGGCGGCTCTCGTCGCCACCGCTGGATTCGCCCCGAGATTCTGGTCAGAACGCACCCCAGGAGAGGTCCAGGGAGTGGCGGCATCGGTACCTTTTGGTCTCCCCAACTATTTCAAGTGGTCAGCATCGGTGCGTGACCCACGCCCGCGCACTCTGCCGAAGACCTGCCAGGGCGCTGCCTCGTCCTCGGGTCAAACTTTTTCGAAGTGCGAGCGCCTCTCTCTCTCTTTCTCCTTTCTGTTCCCCTCTCCTTCCCTTCCTCTCTCGCTCGCTCTTTCTCTCGCTCTCTACACTGGTCTCCGTGGCTTGCATGGCGGGTTTGTCGCAGCGAGTGCCAGCCGTAAGGAACAAGCGGCGTTCAAGATCCTGCAAGGCACAGCGGGCACGCTGGGGTTCACTTTGGCCAAATGCACGGCCATCAGGCGTTGGTCAAAGGCTGGGGAACCAACACTGGTGAAACATTTGAACAGTGATCCGTTCGGTAGTTTCCGTGGAGTGCCAATTATTCAGGAGTGCTGGTTGGTTAGGCCAAGCATCTCCTTTGCAAAGATCCTTTCTTGATGGGCCCGTCTTCCACCACCGCTACCGTAGGTAGGAGAGGGAGGAGGAGGATGAGGATGATGAGGAGGAGGAGGAGAAGCAGGAGGAGAAGGAGGAGGAGGCGGAGGAGGAGTAGAATGAGGAAGGGGAGGAGGAGGAGGAGGAGGAGGAGCAGGAGGAGGAGAGGAGGGGAGGAGGGAGGAGGAGGAGGAGGAGGAGGAGGAGGAGCAGGAGGAGGAATGATGAGGAGGAGGTGGAGGAGGGGGGAGGAGGAGGAGGAGGAGGAGGAGGAGGAGGAGGAAAAAAAGGAGGAGGAATGAGGAGGAGGAGGAGGAGAGGAGGAGGAGGAGGAGGCGGAGGAGGAGGAGGAGGAGGAGGAGGAGGAGGTGGAGGAGGTGGAGGAGTGGAGGAGGAGGAGGAGGAGGAGGAGGAGGAGGAGGAGGAAGGAGGAGGAGGAGGGGAGGGGAGGAGGAGGAGGAGGAGGAGGAGGAGGAGGGACAGGAGGAGGAGGAGGAGGAGGAGGAGGATGAGGAGGAGGAGGAGGAGGAGGAGGAAGGAGGAGGAGGGGAGCGGGTGAGGAGGAGGAGGAGGTGGAGGATGAGGGGGAGGAGGAGCAGGAGAAGGCGGAGGCGGAGGCCGAGGCGGAGGCGGAGGAGGAGGAGGTGGAGGAGGAGGAGGAGGAGGAATAATGAGAATAGTAGGAATGGGAATACTAGTATTCGTAATCATAACAAGAGTAATAGTAAGCAGGCTAACAATAATAATAAGAGTATGAAGACAACACATAATAATAATAATAAGAATATGAGGAGGAAGAGGAGGAGGAGGAGGAGGAGGAGGAAGAGGAAGAGGATGACGACTAATACTATGAGTAATATTATCATGAAAAATAAGACCCGTACTAACAATAATAATCATAATAAGAAGAAACATAAGAATAATAAGAGTAGGGGGAGGAGTAGGAAGAGGTGGAGGATGACATCTTCGTCTGGACAATTTGCCCATCGTCTTCCTGTTCGTCCTCCGCTGGGTCATGCTTGACGTGTTCCTCGCGCGACCGTCGCAACTCCGTCGGTTGGGCTCCTGTCGAGCAGGCAGCGCGCGCGGAGCGCCGACAGTTTATGTTTATAACACGCATTCTTTCTCTCGGGAGGGGAAAACACACAGACACAAGGAGTCCTCGATTCCCAGGAAGAGTCATGCAGTGGCGAAGCGTCCTGGCGCGCCCACGGGCCCACCCGAGAATGGTCCGAGGACTCGTTGCGGTTGGCGCGGGATGTTCTCAGGACATTTCTGTCTGGGGCTCTCTTGTTTCAGCACATCGGCCGGATGTTCTGAGAACGTTGCTTTTGTTATCAGACCGCTTCCGGGCTCTGAGAACGTGCCGTGGTAGACCCGTAGGAATGCCAGGACGGCGGGTGTCCTTGCTCCGAAAAGGTGGGAGGAGGAGGAGGAGGAGGAGGAGGAGGAGGAGGAGGAGGAGGAGGGGGACTCGTGTGCATCTGTTTGCGTGTCCTGGGGGCCCCTTTCCTCTGCCTCCGCCCGTGGACTGCACGATCCTCGGGAGTCTTCCCCACTTCAGCTGGTCCTGCCATGCCCAGTGTTAAGTCGGGCCTGTGCCTCTACAGGGGGGATATCTGAAAACACTCCAAAAATAGTCAGAGGAGGATTTTTTGGGTATGACTGGGCTTCGTTTGAGGATTTTGAGTGTTTTTCGTTTTTCGTCCAAGATTCCTCTGTAGGGGGACAGGCCCGACCTAATCCCAGTGTCCAGTGCCTTCCGCCCCAGCGGCGCCTCCGGCGCCGCCCCTGGCGCGCTCCGCGCGCCAGGGAGGGGGGTACAGTACAGCGCAGATCGAAGGAATCCGCGCGGAGTGCCAAAAATTTATGTGTTTTGGCTTTGTCTCCTCTTCTACAGCTAACCTCAATCTGAGTAATGCTCTCCTCTCCCCCCGAAGACCCCGATGAGGCGTCCTGCCCCCCTCCGCGTACTGGTTTGCACGCACAGGATGGCGCTGAGCTGAGTCTTTGTATGTGCTGTTTCTATCCGAACCTTTTTGGTTCTTTCAAAACGTTGTTCCCGCTGCAGCGCTGGCCCATTTTTCCCGCTCTCGTTCCGAATCGTGCTCCCGCTGCAGCGTCGGCCTCATTTGTCCGCGCTTCCGCTCGTTCGGAATCGTGCTCCCGCTGCAGCGTGGGCCTCATTTCCAGTGTCGTGGCATGCAGTGCAATGCCATGTTGCGGTCCGCTGTACGATGCCACGCCTTCATCTGCAGTGTTATGACACGCAGTGCTTGACTACGCAGTACCACGCCATGCTCTGCCACGCCACGCTTTCATCTCCAACTCCATGCCATGCTCTGCTATGCATCGCGTGTTTGTTTGTTTTCGGTATCATTATCCACTTCGACGTCCGACTGTTCGAATTGAAAGGGGATCTACGCAACGGCAAGGGATGGGAGAGAGGGGCAGGATGTCAGATGTGTCTCGAGCGCATCTAGCTTGTCCCTCCCTCCCCCCTCCTTACTGGTGGCAGTACCTTTGTGAAGCAATGTGTGGCGGCAGTTTGCCCCGATGGCAACAGTAAAACACATGGGCAACGATTTCTGAGAGTAACCAAGCTCCCGCGCTGCGGCGCCATTGCTGCAGCTCTTTCGAGGCCGTCCTCCGGGAAGATTGCTGGCGTCGTTTGCCCATGCTTCCAGGTGTACGCTGGCCGCGCCTTCGCTCTCGCGAGCCTGCTTCAAATGGCCAGCCGGTGTTGTGTGCCCCAAGGCAGGGCTGATTTCGAGCCTTCCGATTCGATTCGATACCGATGTGAATGCCGATTTCTCAATGGAGGCCTACCAGACTTCCGCCGATTCGACTACTCCCGACTTGGCTGCCGATTTCCGCCGATCCAATTCATTTCGATCGCCGATTCGACTTATCGATTCGATTCTGGGCTCTCCTGGTTGTGTGCCCCAAGAAGGACTGTGCGCCGAGTGGAACACGTCCACCGTGCGGACAATGAGCATCGCTTGTTCACGTTGCGTGCCCTGTGTGAAACGTCTGCAGAACGTTCACAGCGCCGGCAACAGTTTTTTCTTCGCTTCGCTCCCTCCTTCCTCCCCCCTTCTCTCTATTGCGCGATCACTGTCATGCAGAAGCCCAGCCTGAGGCCTTGGCCCGTTGAAGTCTGCCCCAATCAATTTGTTGGCGGTGGCGCTCTTCAACGCACCCGGGCAAAGTCTGGTGTCGTTCCATAGATTTGTTGGCATGTTCCGCTGACTCTTAGATTAGAACGACTGATCGGAAGAGTCCGGGATGAAAAAGATAGCATTTCAATCGAGACATCGTGATATACCCCGTGGCGGTTCCCTCTTAGGGTGCCCACTTCAACTTGCAATGCCTGCTACATCGCGGTGATCATGGGACTGTGAAATGAAAGGAGTCGGAGGCAATTTTTGCGTTTCGCTCAAGCATCTCCAACCTCTAAACGCGAACAGGCCCGTGCAACTCCCTTGGCCGGCTCCCCCTCGGGATGCCCAAGTGCTTGCCACATCGCGATGGTCATGATATTTTGAAAGACGAGTCGGGGGTGCAAAAACCTGCGGTTCCCTTAGATATTTCCGCCCGCCCTGGCTTCGGCTGGTCGAACACTCCGAGCGCCCGCTCGTGCACAGGTACGTTGTGACCCGCGCCATTTTGGCTTGCGTCGCGGCTTTGCCGCTTCCCCGCGCTCGTGCGCGCTGCTGCCAGGGGTCCCCCGGCTTCC